TTCTAAACAAAAAGGTGTTGATGATTCTGACCTGTATTATTTTAAAGATAAAGGCTCAATTAAATGAACTAGTAATTGGAAGCTTTGGGTCGCACTCTTTTATCCGGAGCAATTGGTTGAATTTTGACAAAATTTGCATATTTCACAAGCATCTCCTGCATCTCAGGTCCTCGTGTGGCGCCGAAAGAAAATTCGTTAAAAAAAATTTACATAAGCGAATTTCTCCAATCTAGGTTCATATTTGTTATATACTTATTAAAAGAAGTCTACAGAAAAATTATTACCGAAATCCATTTTGCGGGCAAAACTCGATATGAGGATTTTACAGAGACTGGCTCTTAATAAAAGTAATAATCTGCCCGTGTCGGCAAAAGGTGCATAGAAACGTGTTTAACCTAATGTGATGATAACTTATTGACTTGTCATATTTCACAAGTACACTACTAACTGATTTTTCGACGTCTTTGTCCAATAGAAAATGAGTTTGATTCCAGTTTTCATAACCTTGTTGTGGTGCCTTCTGACCCAGTATGCCGTACTTACAGGTAACTATCGGACAGCAAAAGATTTGACTTTGCTGGCGCTTCTCACTCACAAATGTTTGTCTTTCTAGCGAATTAACCCTCAGACGTACACGCAAATTCATACCCCCACCGTGGTACGTTGCAGTATTTCGAAACGCGATTTTACCTTCAGTGGAAGGCCTTTGATTTCTTAACAAGATGAGGTATATTTTATGTGTGGTAGCGCTGCTGGAGGCCCGCGACGTCACCAACAATGGTCGTCATCTTGGCCGCCATCTTTGATTTATCCAAGAATTAGAATTGGTGATTTTTTGTGCTTGACATGACAAATAACACATAAATAAGCAATTTGCATGATTTTAGCCACACGATTTACTGTTATTGTTATTGTTATTGTTGAAAAAGGTAAAAAAAAAAAAAACATGTCATTTCACTCAAAAATGGCTTGACCACCTGCTACTTATGACGTCATTAATCGTAACAATAGAAACTGGCCATCACTGAACTTGACTCAAAATGTGTGCGAGAGATAAACGAACAGCTACTGAAAACTTTAGATGCTGATGTTTTACCCTCTAGGAGAAAACTCAGAAAAACCTTAGGGGAGTGGCATCCACCCTCTCCCCCTTTGTACGACCGAGGGTTAAATTAAACCTAGAAGCCGCGTGCACTTATTTCTACAGACTTCAAAATGCTTTCTGGACCGGCTATCTGCAGATAGCCGGTTTATTAAATCAATAAAATCCAGTGTTAGATATTCTTGCAAACCTTCTTTTAATATGTATTGTCTGTGAAGTTAACGGAATTAAATGAAACTGTTGACTAATCACCAAAGTACAGCAAAGGAAAGGAATTGTTATTCGGAGTTCCCTGCATACCGATTATTTATTATTATTATAATTATTATTATTATTATTGTAATTATAATCATTATTATTATGATCATTATCAATATATTAATATTATTATTATAAGGATTATATATCAAAAAGGAGAGCCATGGTGTAACTAAGTCTTGAGTTCAGGTTAATACAATGTAGTGCATTTTAAGTAAACGATTTTATAAGCATCACCATTTTTTGACTTTACAGCATTTCTAATACCTTTATTACTACGTAGTGATTTTAAGTCATTTTCTCTTTAAAGGGTCTGCATGTACAATGTACCCACCCCCAAAGAATGGTGCCCTGGTTTGCAATCCTGTGGGAAGTGACATATCGTGTTCAGTTACATGCAAAGATGGATATGAATTTGTGTTCCCTCCCTCGTTCGTTTACTATTGCTTGGGTAAAGACTGGAGGTTTTTTAACATCGTCCCGAGTATTACGCCTCTGACCACCCAAATGCCATGGCCCGATTGTGGAAGTAGGTAGTCATATTATAATTATTGTTGTTGTTGTTATTATTGTTATTGTTATTGTTATTGTTATTATTATTATTATTATTATTATTATTAATATTATTATCATTATTATTATTATTATTATTATCATTATTATTATTGTGAAAGGTTTGAACCCAGGAGTCATTTCAAAAGGTTGAGTTTGATCGTCCGGGTGAACGAAGTCCTGAATAGGACTATTGTTGTTGACAGTGACTGACGTTTCGACAGCATGTGTGGTAGTCATCTTCAGAGTCAAAGTGAGTTGTATCACGTCAGTTGATGGTATTATACTCTGGTTATTGATCTGATTGGTCAATTATGTCGCGATGTTATTGGTCGTCTGTCAGTTAAGCCGTGATGTTATTGGCTATGAAGACTCGTAATCAGTGATTGGTGCGTTTCGATCCGTCTATTGTCACAGTTAAACAGTCGTCTATTGTTAGTCAAATTGTCAGTTCTCAGTTGTTCTCTCGTAGTTAGTTTTGCTTGATCTCGTCAATAAGTCGTTTGTACGGCGCTGGTAACTGTTGGCTACGATTCAGCGGCGTTTGTTCTAAGTTAGTAAACCAGCTTTCTAAAGTAAGACGTTGATAGTAGTCTGTAGAATACGTTATACATGTCGCAGAGTCCCAGTCAATTTGATGTTTCGTCTTTAAATGGTGCTCAGCAATGTGATTGTTGACGTCACCATTCCTCGTCGCGCGTTTGTGTTCGGTCAGTCGCGTGCTTAGGTTTCTGCCGGTTTCACCAATGTAAGAAGCCTGGCAGTCGCAGCATTTGATCTTGTATACTGCTCCCTGTCTGTCCTCCGGTTTGTCTTTGTCCTTGACATTAGTAAGCAGTCGCCGTAAAGTGGTTATCGGTTTGTGCGCAACACGTATATTGTAAGGTTGTAATATACGTGCAATAGTTTCAGAGGTGCCTCTGATGTACGGTATAGTCGCTGTCGTAACAGAGCCAGAGTTGGTCTGAGAGTTGGAATCAGTGTTACTGTGAGTGTTCCGTCTAACAAAGTCCGTGTTGTAATTTTTCTTACTAAAAACGTTGTTAAGATAATCAGTCTCGTTTTGTAGGCTGTCAGGTGAGTCGCAAACTATCCTTACTCTGACGAGACGAGCGCAACTAGTTTGCGACTCACCTGACAGCCTACAAGACGAGACTGTTTATCTTAACAACGTTTTTAGTAAGAACAATTACAACACGGACTTTGTTAGATCAAGCAAAACTAACTACGAGAGAACAACTAAGAACTGACAATTTGACTAACAATAGACGACTGTTTAACTGTGACCATAGACGGATCGAAACGCACCAATCACTGATTACGAGTCTTCATAGCCAATAACATCACGGCTTAACTGACAGACGACCAATAACATCGCGACATAATTGACCAATCAGATCAATAACCAGAGTATAATACCATCAACTGACGTGATACAACTCACTTTGACTCTGAAGATGACTACCGCACAGGTTGTCGAAACGTCAGTCACTGTCAGCAACAACAGTCCTATTCAGGACTACGTTCACCCGGACGATCAAACTCAACCTTTTTATCATTATTATTATTACAGACTTTAAGCTTCACGTATACGGCAAACGGAAACCAGCAAACGTCATATTCAAGTTGAGATTTTCTCAAAATAGAGAGTTAGCAGCTAAAAACAGCTCAAAACAATTCTTTTGGATAAAAACTTGCGTGAAACTACTAATTTATGAGTGGAGTTAATGAACAGTAAACGACTAGTAATTGGGAAACTTGGTCACGTGGTACACATTCGCCTTTTCCGTTTGACGTAAACGTGACGCTAAACCTCTCTTTTATTATTATTATTATTGTTATTATTATTATTATTATTATCATTATTATTTATTAATTTATTGATTTTTAAAGTTTTTAACGAATAGTTCACAAAACGCCTCATCTTTCTTCATTGCCTACACCTAGTTGCTCCGAAGATCAGGAGTCTATTATGGGCTCCTTGTAATCTAGCTATTTATAATGCATAGAGATAAAGTCAAGCTTCAAACTATTCGAGTTCTTGAAAAATAACTCCATAACAACAACTTACAGTTAAAAAATGATTAACAAATGTAATTCAAAAAGTGAGATATGTTAATTATACTTAATTCTATTCTTGGAATTGAATACCGATAAATGCTTCTCTGGTAATGAATCTATTAATGTGACGTTGCAGATGTGCTAAATTGTGATGAATTCAAAGCCAGATAATAGATGTTTCTTTTTCATGAAATGAACAGCAACCTCACATAGTAATCTTCTTTGCAGTCATAGCCGACTTTCTGGTTGTGGAATCTGATCTTGTTGAAAAACGCTTTTATAGGTCCAGGTCGAATATTTCATGAAACGAATCAAACTCTAATTTGGGTCGACCTAAATTAAGTTAAGATCGTCTTGGGTCAGACGTCGAACTAAGGACGCGTCGAAGCAATCAACTGAATCAGACCCTGAGGCAATTTTCATGGTTTTCTCCAGAACTAAGCTAAATATATATTATCATACGATTTTTTAATTTTTCAGTTTATTCCTTCGCATGTGAAGATCGACGTTTGCCTCGGAGACGATCTCCAGACGTTCCAATATCTGTCTGAGAACGTATCAGGGGAGCATCCAAACTCATTCAGATAAACTTTGAATTACTAAGCCGGCAGACGTCGAACTTTTAAGGAACCCAACTCACCAAGTTTGATTCGTCTCATGAGAAAGGTCCACGTTTTGCTTCGGCCTTGGTCAGGTTATAAGCCCTCCAAAAACCACTTTCTAATAAGTTGTATAAGCTCAGAGCTTCCTTATAAGCAGAAATTTACGGTATATCAAATGTTAATTTACTCTGGAAGAAAATATTGGTTTTGGGGACGTTATCCTTTATCCCTTTTAGATTGCTTCCTTTTTAGTGATACCGGCAAAGATTTTGGGAACGAGTTTGTAATTCTCCTCTTTCTACTTAACTGCAGAACGGCCTTCAATCCAGTTATCTGAAGACCTTTTACCTCTTTTCGCTGGTAAAAGCATAGTTACAGCTGCGCTGTCGAGGGATGGCCTCTACCAGAAGTTAGGTGGCTTAAGAATGGTCAAAAAATTGCACAATGATACGATTAACCATAAAATCATTGTAGAGAGAACGATAGTAGGAGAGGAGCTTATAGATGTGACCTTACATATTCTTGATGTGGACATAGGGGATTCTGGAAATTACACCTGTGAAGCTATGAACAACATCACAACTGAGAACCGCAGCATCATCGTCTCTGTTATCTGTAAGACGTTGTAGGTAGTTACAGTTGGTAGAGTAAGACAAACATTTTTTTTCGTTAAATGACAGTATTCACACGATCCCTGCGATCTTTGCACGCGCTTTAGGATTGATGGGATAACTCAAGGCAATTTCATGTGTCACGTTGTATTCCAAAGCGTAAACAAAAAAAAAACTTGCCAATATGAGTAATCGCTGTCGAGTTTCTTTATTTTCTCAAACGGAACGACGATTTAAAGTGATGCAAAATGTACGGTTTGAGTTTCTACAAGTTTTACGCTCACAGCAACCATGAAAAGTAAAAATAATCACTTCCATCCATACCACAGGCAGCCCAAACTCTGTGGGAGTTCGTTGGACTTTGAATTTATAAGGGAATGTTTGAAAATAAACAAAATACGTCCTAAATTCCAATTTTGGACAAAAATAGAAATAAAAATGACTTACCTTGTGTTTGTGTTTTACTGTCTCTTCGCCTCTAGAGCCATTTGGAAGCCGTTTTATCGACGTTTAAGATTTTGAGTTGTACTAACGGTAAAAAAACTGGAAAGGCTGGGGACTCTGAAGCCGACCGTTCCAGCTCGAAGCTCCATAAATCCCATAAAAATGGTCACCGTGCTACTCGCGATGACATTCGCGATGCACTGTGCCCGCCCCTGGACCGAGGCAAATTATGGCTGTGACGTAAGCTTTGAGCGAACGTTAATTACGTCACGTCCAAGAGCCCGGTCATACGCATCCCGAGAAAGAAAACTCTGATGGAAAAAGTTTAAAATTAAGCGCTTCGTTAGCAGTTGTGATGAAATCTGAACTCCAGAAGCATAGAAGGGAAAGACAAATTATCGACAGATCCTTTGACGGCAATTTTGGCGAGTTTGGACCATTTTTATGGGATTTATGGAGCTTCGAGTTGGAACGGTCGGCTTCAGAGTCCCCATGCAGCCTTCCCATTTTTCTTGCTGTTAGTACAACTCAAAATCTTCAACGTCGATTAAACGGCTCTAGAGGCAAAGAGACGGTAAGTGACAAAACACAAACACAAGGTAAGTCATTTTTATTTCTATTTTTGTCCAAAATTGGAAATTAGGACGTATTTTGTTTATTTTCATACATTTTTCTCTTATAAATTCAAAGTCCAACGAACTCCCACAGAGTTTGGGCTGCCCGTGTCCATACCTTTCCATTTTTGTCTTTAACATAAGAAGCCGTTCATTTTCTGTTGTCTAGAATAAACATGACCGCGAATTCTTGCATTGGCATTCAGATTTTATCACATTGCTCTTTTTCCATCATTCCTGGGGAAAGATGGCGGGTATCGTAAATAATCAATCAATGGTTGAGAAAGCACCAAGCGAAGCTAGCCGGGCGAGAACATGCAATCGACCAGCGACGCGAAGAGAAGCCCATGTCACTTAGAATCAAGTCGCTGATTTATAGAAAAAAAGGATATTAGATACAAGCCTATTCAGATAACATTTAAATTCAAAGCAGCTAACTAGAGAAAGAAAACTGTCATTCTCATTATCAGATCCGCAATCCTTTGACGACGCTATGGTCAGGATCAATCCGGGGCGCCGCCAAAAGGATTGCGTATCAGCGAAAGTGAATCACGGTAAAATTATTAGAGAAGCCGATAAGGGAACGGCTTGTGTCGCTGACAGTCAGGTCTTTTGATGTTAAACCGTTGGTACTTATTTATTACTTCTTCACAACAGGCCCACCAGCACTACCTGAACTAAAGGAATTTCCTCCTGATATGGGAACAAATGGAAATGTTACTTTGAGTTGCAAAGCTTACCATCTGGATTCCCAAAAGACAGCTTCTTACCAATGGAAGTGGATATTCAACGATAGCGTCGAAATCAGAAAGGAAGCCTTTGGCGGCGGAAAGTATGGCATATTCAGCGAGTACTCATCTCCTAATTCTTGTCGACAAACCAAAGGTTCTGTCGCTCTCCAGATAGCAAGGGTTAACACGCACGACCTTGGACAATACAAGTGTAAACTACTTGATCCTGATTCAGTGATAGCTGTAAAAGACATCCCATTACTGGAAGATGGTAGGTTTTTCAGTGTTGTTTCTAACAGTCTGTATTTTACCTTCTTTGTAAAGTGATGAGTAACAATTTATATCTCGCTCAACACTCTCATAGTCTAAGAAGTGGAGATTCACTTTAGACAGAACACTTAGAAAAGTAATTCACGTCAGCCAAGACCTTGGTATTGCTGGACTGAAACATGTCCAGATTGGTTACGCGTGGGTATACATAGAGGGATCAGAAGCTTAAATGGAAACAAGTTGCTTTTGACTTCTTTGCATTAAAGTCGAAAACTGTACTTTACTACGTTTTTAAAGCCAATTTCGCGGGATAGATTCTGGTTTTTTTTTCGGAGTCAGGAGGAGCACGCAATCCTAATCCTCAGGTTTCAAAAGTTTAGACCCAAGTCAAATTTAGAAGGATTTGCATGGAGTCATCAGAGCATAACTGGGCTTCAGAGACAATTTGCCCCACAGTGCTAGTTTTTGGCAAGTAGGCCTCTTGAATGTTGTTATCTAGAATATCCTGGAAAATCCCATAATTTCACAAATTTAATTTTCTTATGACGCCACACTTGAGAACTCTATTGAATTACGCGCTTCACGTATGTAGCCAGCATTTGTTTGAAAATCCACTAAGAGTGAATGGAACGCATAGCTAGAATACAATCTGATCGCGCCCATTTGACCATATGTCACGTAAAACTAAATAACGCAAAGCAGTCAGCGTTACGCTAGCCTGTGTGGCAGGCGTTTGAAAGGGAAGGGAAAGGAGGTTTGGGGGGCGAGGGAAACGCGAGGGGCGCGCGAGGAGGGAGGGAGGAAGGAAAACGCCTGCCAGGAAACCATTGTTTTAGCCATCCCGCCTACTAATTATGTATGCAAAAATAACGCAACTGTGAATGACTAGCTGTCAAATAAGTCTGGCCGCGATGCGCTTATTTAGTCGCATTTCGCGTACTGTTTTTCTTTTGTTTTCCCAAAACAAGAAATCTGAAGTGAATGTACTATTAAAAAAAGTATAAATGCGGTCGTCCGTTGAAGGAAGAAAGTCGCAACCATACGTGGCTTGTTATATAAATCCAGCATAAATCTATTACTTTTTTGCTGAAGGTATCGTGTTGGACTTCCCAACTCGCATGCAATGTTTGTCGAAGAAATTAATTACAAACACTTTGCCGACTCTGGAACTGGATCCAGCGGAGCATACAAAAGAACGCTGGTAGCAGGGAAAGAAGAGCTGAACTTCAAAGATCTACAATAAGGCTAATTCTGCAATCAATATTATTATTAAAGTAAGTTCCTGGCGGCTTTATAACGTCTATAACCAGCAAGAAGTCCTCAAATCAAAAATCGCTAAGGATTATAGATCGCTTCGTCTTCAACAATCTGGTCGTTGATAAAGCTTGCGTGGTAGGCGTTTGAGGTCAAACAGCAGATAACAAGCACACAGGCAGCATGATTTTTCCTTTCTTTCTTCTAGTGAATAAAACAAGCCGTTGGGAGATCAGACAAGACTTCTCAAAACCAGTCAGCACAACTCATCTAGCTGACAGGTCTTTTCCTTCATACGAGTTTTTTAACTGCTTTCTTCTATTCTCCTTTCAAGCTGAAATAGATGCCTTCAGTTTCTAATCGTTCTAAAACGATGAATTCCATACAGAAATCTCATCACGCCTCACTAACAACATATTTTTAAATGATTACTGAAAGATTACTCAGTAGCGTGATGTTGATTTCAGCCAATCGGATTAAGGTATTAAGGCTGTGATTGACATGTTTTGAAGACGGACCAATCAGGATTTTAACATTTGCCTGGTGGATGTTAAAAACGAGAAAAACGATGGTCTCCTGGCAGGCGTTTCCCTCCCTCCCTCCTCGCGCGCCCCTCGCGTTTCTCTCGCACCTAAAACTCCCTTTCCCTTCCCTTTCAAACGCCTGCCACGCAAGCTAGCGTTACGCAAGAGCATTTTGACCATCGGTTGACCTCGCCCGCACTCCCTAACCTTTTTTACTAGTTTGCTATCTTCAATATTTTTTAGTGAACTCTAAGGTCCCATCCCGTCCTGAGATTGAGACTTTGTTAACCATCAATTGTGGTCGTAATATTAAAGTGCAGTGGAAAGAGCCATCTTCAGAATATGAAGTCACTGGGTATCAGATGATATTATTAAAGCTCGCGGATGATTATAAGCAAGAATTCAACCTATCAAAGAATGTTCGTAATAAAGAATTGGCTGTACAAAGTAATACTGCTTATGAATTACAAATCAGGGCGGAGAACAGTATGGGATTTAGCCTTTGGACAAGAGGACAATGGACAACAACGGCAGGTAATTATGGCAATGAGGGCTCGTGATCGTCTTACGTTGGAAATCCTCAGAGAAAGGAACCATGTATTTTCTGTAATACGATTTGTTAGAGCGATTTTCGTACGACCATGAAAAATGGTTTCGGTAAGTGATCGTTATTTCTTTTATCAGCCAATGGATGAATAAGATCAAAACATGGACTCTTTGTTTTCCCGCCAAAGAAATCCCTAATATGGAGAAGCCATTGTTCGATTGGCCAATTGTGTTGCAGTATGACGTCAAAGCGAATATCGATTGGTTTCTAGAAAGATCTTCGGGCATGACGTTTTTTCAGCCGAGCGTTCGCTTAAACAATCAAAAGCCACGCGCGTTTGTATCAGTTCCCTGACAAACCAATCAAATCGATCTATTTCCGTTTGTTTGTTGTTTCTGTTTTGTTCGCGCGCTTTTATTTCAAGGTCATACGAAAAACGCTCTAATCACGAATATAATTACAAACCAAATGATTAACGTACATGTAGGTAAAGTATCGACACATGTTATGTAACTTCCTCTTCCCTCTTTAGGTTTTACTTAACAAATTGAGTTGTAAATACCGTAAATCCTCTATAAACTCTCCTTTTTTATAGGAGAAGAAAGTTTTTAAGCTACACCGTTCGTTTATTCCCCCTTTTATTCCTCCCTTATTCTTCCACATTAATAAATGATAGAGTGAATTAATTAACAACAACTTTATCACATTAACTGATCCGGTATAGTTTATTCCAAGCTTGACACTCGGATTTGAATTTGATACTCGACTGGGTGGCCATGGTATCCATATTATCATTAGAAAATACAGTATAGTGCCTCGACTCGCTGAATTAAACAAGTCCCCTTCTCTCTACTAACTCCCCCCTTGGATGAGCTCCCGGAAAGGGGAAATTAAAAGAGGATTAATGGCATGGTATGCAATGTTCCTTTTTTTTCTTTTTGCTTTTCAGATGTACCGGAAATGATGATATTTTCAGCCAAACCGGAAGGCTGTTTTGCAGCTCTTTCATGGAGAAATCCCACAGAAACCAGCTGCCCGATAACCAGATATACAGTTCATTTTAGGGAAACAGAAACCATATCAAATGAGAATACAAAATGGCACACAAAGAATTTGGGAAAGCAGGACAAAACGGAGTATCGGCTTCAGCTGAACTGCAGCAGGACTTATGAAGTTATGGCCATTGCATGGAATGAACGCGGAAGTAGTATCCCCGATGCGAACATAGTGACTGTGCGCACAGAAACCGGTACTGGGATTTTCTCTCGTATACATTCTATCTTAAAATACTCCCAAGTTAACCCTTTTGTGCTTTATTTAGCCTGTGTGGCAGGCATTAAAAGAGAAAGGGGAAAAGGATTTCAGGGCTACCAGGAGAAAAGGCTCACGTAGAATTCTCTCTTCCTCTTCTAGTTTTAACTCCTGCAATGTAGGCTTTTCTCTTTTCTTACATTAAGGTTAGCAGTTGGTTCATAACTAAGCGTGCGTATGGCGAGATATAAAACACGCGGGAAGTTTGGAGAACACGAATCGAAAAAGTGCGTGAGAGTTGCTCAAGACGTAGTCGTCGAGAGCAACTCTAGCCTCTTGAAGTTCGAAAATTGTGCCAAAGCTGGACTGTTATATCATTGTGGATTTTATTTAATAAAATGTTGCATAAAGCCCATGAGAAAAGTACTTTATTTACTAATGTTATTATTATTTTATTTTATGCTATTTTATTTTTAAAATTGTTTTGATTTAATTTTTCTAAAGGAGTACCACTCCAGCCGAAATGGATTAAAGTCATTGAAAAACAATGTGGAAAGTTCGAAGTCACATGGAGTCCTGACACCTTGGACTCTGGAGGAGGACCACCGAGTGCTTTCCAGGTTCAGATCAGCGATCAAACTGGGCAATGGGTTAACTGTACGAATTTCCTACCAAATAACAGCTGTTTGTTCAAAGATTTGCAAAGCGAAACTGAGTACGATATTCAGGTCCGAGCTATAAACCAAAAGGGACCAGGCGAATGGACAGTGGACACAAAAAAGACGGGATTTATAGGCAAGTGGACTCATTTAAGAAAGCCTAAATGCGGAGCTCCAGTTAAATATAGCTAACCGTGTACTTGGGGAATGTGCTTGATAACGATTTAAAAAGATGTGAACATTACTTCTCTCCTTGTGGCGAGCGCGGTCTTCGCTTTCAACTTAGTAACTGTTCATTGTTCAACCACTACTACTTACCACGATGAATGTTATTTACCATTTTTTTATATCCTTGTGATAAATTTCGAACGTCAATTCTGAGTTCCTTTCATTAAGAATTACTTGCACCTTTCTGGTACCATTACTAAACTTGAAGACCCAATCCTGCTACTTGTTTTCCAATCATCCCTCAATTCTATCAATCTCTTCCGACTTGTATTTTCTTCTTCTTTTCGTCTCCTTTTTCTTCTTCTTCTTTTTTTAAATTTGTGTTTGTTTCCATTTTTCGTTGTAATTTTGTTAGTCTTATTTTTTTAACGGTCTTTCCATCTACAAATTTTTTTCTTCTTTCATTTGATATTTATGTCCCTAATCACCAGACCGTATGATGCATTGATTTTAGGTCCCCCTGATCCTCCACAAATACTGCATAATAAAACGCAAATTTCTGGCGTAAATATTACCCTGCATTGGACGAGCCCTTCGCAACGCAACTGCAGCATAACAATGTACTCGTTACACCACAAAGTAGTAAAGCCAACCTCTGGGAAAGAAGCAGAAATGAATATTACCAACACTAGTATAAACCGTGACGAACTACGTCTTGAGCATAGCAAGGAGTATGAAGTAACTGTCTTTGCTTGGAATGATCTTGGACGCAGTGAGGCAAGCAGAGCGTGGAAAATCAGAACAGCACAATGTAAATACAAGTAGCGTATATACTTTGTTATAAATGTTTTTTTTAAAATAACATCTATACTGATGTGAAGTATATGAAATAATTCATTTTTTGAACTGCGGTTGTAGATGAGAGTGAAGAATGATTATCGCAGTAAATTTTCCAATTTAAGCAATTGGAAAGAAGAAGCCTGAAAAAAAAAAACCAGGGCTTCAACAGGATTCGAACCCGTGACCTCCGCGTTGCCGGTGCGTTGCTCTACCAACTGAGCTATGAAGCCACACATTGGGAGCGAGGTCAATTTATTGAGTTCATGTCTCCCGTGAGGAGTGAAATGATGTGAAGTATATGAAATAATTCATTTTTTGAACTGCGGTTGTAGATGAGAGTGAAGAATGATCATCGCAGTAAATTTTCCAATTTAAGCAATTGGAAAGAAGAAGCCTGAAAAAAACCAGGGCTACAACAGGATTCGAACTCGTGACCTCCGCGTTGCCGGTGCGTTGCTCTACCAACTGAGCTATGAAGCCACACATTGGGAGCGAGGTCAATTAATTGAGTTCATGTCTCCCGTGAGGAGTGAAATGATGTGATGTGGCTTCATAGCTCAGTTGGTAGAGCAACGCACCGGCAACGCGGAGGTCACGGGTTCGAATCCTGTTGAAGCCCTGATTTTTTTCAGGCTTCTTCTGTCCAATTGCTTAAATTGGAAAATTTTCTGCGATGATCATTCTTCACTCTCATCTACAACCGCAGTTCAAAAAATGAATTATTTCATATACTTCACATCATTTCACTCCTCACGGGAGACATGAACTCAATAAATTGACCTCGCTCCCAATGTGTGGCTTCATAGCTCAGTTGGTAGAGCAAAGCACCGGCAACGCGAAGGTCACGAGTTCGAATCCTGTTGAAGCCCTGGTTTTTTTTTTTTCAGGCTTCTTCTTTCCAATTGCTTAAATTGGAAAATTTACTGCGATGATCATTCTTCACTCTCAACATCTATACTATTATAATATACACATTTTTACTTGTTTATATATAAATCTCATCCAGCCATACGTTTTATAGATTAATTCAAAAGTGCCACAATATTTCTTATATTTAATTAAGAGTACCGCTATGAGTGTCTCCTTGTTTGATTTCTTGTGACTTCCATTCAACTTACTGGTAAAATATCCTGGGAAAGATGCCTGTTACTTAAACTATGCATACGGAAGTTGCATGTTTCGTATATTATATATATTTCAAATTTCATGTCGAGATCATTCAGATCGTTAGTGTTTTGTACCATACGTGAACTACATGTTTCGCTATTTTTTTCTTAATTTTATAGATGTTCCATATCAACCCGTCTTGCATTCAAACTTTACTGGAGGTTGCAGCTTTATCAACGTGACCTGGAGCCCACCAGCGCTTACTGCAAAGGGGGGATCGGTGACGGGATATCTGGCAGAGATATATACTGCCATCGCCTGGGATTGGATAAACAGCATTGTATTAAACAATTCGAAAACAACGTCCTGTTCATTTACACAGCTGGAGCCAAACAGCAAATACCGTATAAGAGTGAAGGCAAAGAATAAAGTAGGCTTTGGTTGGCCGACTGAGACTTTGGAAGCAAATACTTTCCAAACAGGTAATTTATCACATTTGTTACCAGTCGTACTTTGAATTCAGAGAACTTTCAGACTCTGTAACTGATACTAAAAGGAGCTTAAATGAATTATATTTGAGTCACGTTGTAAAGATTCTGATACCTTTTGGGATTGTTTTCGCTCAGAACCCCACCCGTCATTTTTGTGGTAATTTTATTTTCGTCGAGCTTTGTGGAGAGGTCGTCAGGTCAACTTGGATGGGACCACTTGGAGCGGTTAAACTTAGAGTTACGAAATTTGAAATTAGTAAAATTATTGGAATTTGAGGTTGAAGCATTTTTTATGAGCAACTGTAATAAAACATTTATTGCTTTTGGTAATATGCATGTGCTCTTCAATATGTTACCCTGTGATACTCCATTAGAATTAATTCGTAATTTTTGAGTAGCTCAGATGGAAAATACCGCTTATAGGAAATATTTCTATGTTCTGCTTTCATTATCATCATATGTTTTTAGGCACTCGTAACAAGCCCGAGATAAGTGTAATTTCTTCAAATGATGGAATATCGTGTGGTGTAATTATAAAATGGTCTCACGATGCATCTTCAAGTGGCTGCATGACGTTATTTTACACAATTCGCTACAAACAGCAAACACCGTACGAAGGCAATGAGTGGACCGACGTAAATGTTTCAGCTTCAAATGTCAATCAGCTGAAGCTGGACATGAATTGTTCAACTGAGTACGCATTCCAGGTCGTGGCGTGGAACGTGGTTGGAGAGAGCCCATCCAGTGTTGTGCAGTATACCACAAAAGAGCTGACAACACAGAAAGGAGGTATGGGCTTTGATGTAGGAGAAAGGGCAGTGGTTGCAACCCCTTCCCATTAGGATTTACTGTGATAAAATAATTTAAAAAGAAGGATTTTAGATGGAATTGAAGGATAAGCGAAGTAGTTGGTCAATGCGCGGCCTTCTGTGCGGAAGGTTCCGATTTGATTCCCTGGTGTGACCACAAATCCTTCTTTCGACTTCTTTCCTTGCCATTTACATACGCATCAAACGGAGCACTGAAAGAGAGAGGGGAGGCTGAAATGAGCCACTATGGGCTTCAGGTTGTTCGTCAGATGACTATTAGGTTCGAGCTACCGATGTAAAATAAGGACTCTTTTCCTAATTAATTAATCAATTAATAGGGAGTCTGTGACCAAGTCTTAAAAAATGATGTGACGTGATACAAGCTTGTGCGAACCGTGTAGCAATTCAATTGATCCTACTCCTTTTGCTCCCTTTCCGTTATGGTGAAATCTTCAGATATTTGCCCCAAAAAGTGGAAAGACAACCCGCTTTTTAAAGGCCTTAAATTCATGTGACATATATAGAGGATATTACAAGGTGGCGAGAAGATATGAATTTTATGTTCGAGTGGCAAGAACAATATCTCACGAGTGAGCGAAGCGAACAAGTGAGATATTGTTCTTGCCACGAGAACATAAAATTCATATCTTTGAGCTAACGTGTAATGTTCTTTTTATTATATGGAGAAACCAATTCAACAAAAGCAAAAGGCGGGAATCGTGACGTCATTGAACGATACGACACTCACAAAGGTGACATACGGAAAATACGCCACTCGGGTCCCGGATGAAGTGGCGTATGGAATCTACGAGTGGTTTAGTTCCCAGTAAAACACTCTCCTCCATATAATAATGAGTCATATCTCATAACGAGACCAACCAAATTTTATCCTGAACTTAGGCGGTATAGTAAGTGGAGCCTAAAGCAAACTGCATTTCTTGAGGACTTAACAGAATTAATATTGTTGTATAAGGGATGTTTTTCAGACAAATTATAAATGCATCTAAGATGAGGTTCCAACTACGGCCCACATTTTTTCTTTCTTTGCCTTACAGATCTTTCCCTTGTAAATATATTAATCTTTATCTTCGTCGGCTTGCTCCTGATCTTGGTAGTTGTACTACTGGTTGTTTGCAACAGGTATTACAAAAGGAAAAGAAACCGGTCTCTAAAGAGGTATGTCTGCAAATATATATTTTTTTTGCTTCCGGGTGTTTTTGAGACCAGAGGGATATAAAATTTTTTAGATGTAAGGTATGCAAGGTAAGATACAAAAGTTGCTTATAATTATTGATTTTATGATGTCATCGCTTGACTAATGGTTTAAAAAAGGTACGGTGAAAAGGGCAGAAAATGTGCAAAACGAGTTGAACAGCGATGTTGTGCGTTTTACCTTCCGTGAATCAAACTTGTCTTGGAACAAATAAGATTGTTTCAGGTTGCGAAAAGTTGTTGGATTCAAGAAAGTAGAGAGTACTTCTACTTTTTGGCAGCAAAATTTGTACATGTTACGCGCTTTACTGGTCCAAGAAAAGTTTGCGAAAGGTGACGTAATTCCCGTGTATGGCGTAACTTTCCGACTGTGATTTGATGCAAGACAGCTGAATGATATCTTTAGCAGAAAGAAGCTTGGGAATAGCCGTTATTATTATTTCCTTTCAGAACCGCAAAAGATATCCAAGTATTAGACTACCGCGAAATTCCTCCTATAAGAACAGAATATATTGACGTTTTGGGCCAGGGAGCATTTGGCAAGGTTCACAGAGCAAAACTAAAGGACGGATTAGAGTACTTTTTAATCGGGCGACGCTGGGAGAATATTACTGCTAGGCGGCAAAAGATTGTTGCGGTTAAAGAACTGCATGGTAAGTGTGAACAGTTTTTACATTTTGTTGATAGTCTCTGGAAGGGAAATTGGTTTCTTAAGGTAAACTAAGTAGCATAAGAAATCTAAGTAGAGTTTTAGTCACAGAGTAAAAACGGGATCATTGAATTTAGTCAAATACAAATTTGTTATCCCCTATTGATATCTTCAGACAAACGAAATCACCAAAAGTCCGGTCGTTCGAGTTGCCTTGAATAAATAAACTCCTTTCGTTCAAAATGGCCGCTGGTTGCAGGGTGCATTTGGCTCTGCTGGGCAAGGGGATGATGTGGGCACTTACTTCAGTAGGGAGTTCTCGACGGAAAGGTTAAAATGACCTGAAAAGGTCAAATGCAGTTGAAAACGTTAAAAGTATGCAACCCTTACGCTGAGAACACGTCGGCGCATTTCATCAACGTTGTTTGCCCAAACCAAAGATCAATGCCAATTGTTATCCCCCTTGTTTAAATTGGGTGCGCTCCCTTTAAGTTTTTAAACCCCATAAAAGATAAACTACGTGTGTTGTAATAGTCTTTAGGAAAAACGTGATGTAGCTGTTAATAATATTTTTTTCAATGCTTATATTCGTGACTGATTAAACTATAATTTTTTCCCTAGAGAACGCAAACGAAGAGCAGAGAAGGGAATTTATGAACGAAATTAAGCTCATGAAGGAGATCGGCAAGCATCAGAATGTTTTGAGTTTTCTTGGCTGTTGGACCGCATCTGAACCTCTCTTATTGATTATCGAATATATTGCGCATGGAGACTTGCTTCATTGGCTTCGACGTAAGAGAAGTCAGGTATCACTGAGAAGCAATTCAATCTATGATACTTGGAAAGAACTCAAAGCTGGCATAGTCAACATTGTTCTCATCGCTTGTGCTATTTTTTGCGAGATCCTTCAGTTTGGTGACCCCTTTTGCCACAGTTACCAGATAAGACCTTTCAGAAACCACTATCAAATAAAGCAAGGGCAGTTTTTTTCAGTTTTTCTATTTGTTTTATGTGCATCTTATATGTGATTTGTAATGGTCATTAAAAGCTATGAGGGCGTCCATATCAGTGCCCAGGTATCTAGCGGTCAGTTCAAAGCATTTGACTGACGTTTACATTGCCCTTCAGACCAAGTTACAAAACAAGAAAGGTCTTTAATACCACCGTGGAGTATGTGTTTAATCGTATTTGCAAGTCAAACTACTTTTAGACCCTAAAAAAAACGATTTTGCAAGCATTTGAAAGCCCAGAGCGAATCAGATGAACAGCATTTTTATCTAGTGGCGATTTGAAGAATGATCTTTAAAACACCATTTTGTTTTTGCCCAAAATAAAAAAAAATTGTACTTTCTTGCTTTATTTTATTTTATATTACTTTTAGATAACCGGTTCTAATTTGAGAGCCCCGGAGGCAAGTGTAAAAGTCAAGGTGTTGAGTGTTGGAACAGCCTTACAAAATGCGACAACTGAGCAGGTGTGTAACAGCGTCACCGACAAGGGAAGGGCGATAGAGGCTACTTGAGATTAGGCCATTTGCACGATGGTGTTAGTTTCCCTTGATATCTTAGTTTGGTAATCCTAGCGGAGTTAAGATAAGAAAAGACCAAAACTTCCCCAAGAAAGGAAGACTCTCAAGGATTTTAGTAGTAGTGGTAGTGGTTGCAGTGGTGTGTGGTGATGAAGGTTGTGGTAGAGGTGTTGGTGGTGGGTGTTGTGGAAGGAGGTGGTGGTGTTGGGTGTTGTTGCTGGTGGTGGTTGGTGATGAAGGTTGTGGTTGTGGCGTTGAGTGTTGGGTGTTGGTGGTGGGTCGTGGTGAAGCTGGTAGAGGTGGTGTTAAGTGTTGGTGGTAATGGTGGTAGGCGGTTGTGAAGGCTGTGGTAGTGGTGTTGGGTGTCGGTGGAGGATCGTGGTGAAGGTGGTGGTGGTGGTGTTGGGTGTTGGTAATAGTATTGGTGGTGGTGGTAGTGTTGGGTAGTGGTAGTGATAGTGGTATTAGTAGATTACATTAGCTCTGACTTTCTTATTTTTTGTATTACTAGTATTATGTCGGCTTTTGAATCATTCTATGTTCACTTTTAGTTATCAAATCATCTACTTAAATTGCATTTTACATTTTACTCCCCCACTGACACACACCACAGTTTCTTGAAACTAAACCATGATATACTACGAGGTGGTCAACTGTTGAGGTGACAACTTCATCAGTAGCACAAAATTAGTTATGCTCTATCTAATGTCAAGATAAACACTCTCCAATAGTTTAAAAATAGACTGGTTGATTGATAGGATGGAATAATAATGGAAAGCAATGGAGAGGTCTTTGAAGGAAACGCCGATCTTTCGAATTCCTTTGAAACAACGAACCAAAGACAGGTGGATTTTGATGGTGAAGACAAAAGTGACATTCCCATGGTAGTTTTTTCGCCACCGAAACAAGAGGAAGAACCTGCTAAAGACACAACTCTCAGTGACTGCGAAGATGATTGTGAGTCGTTTTTCCCAACAGATCCAATGTCTTTTGCTTGGCAGATAGCACGTGGCATGGTATGGTATTCAAAGTTTTCTATGTCTATCAATAGAATTAATTATTCTATCACGTGGCTTCTGAAGCCTGAAACCCAAATAAACTGATCCTGGTTCTCAACCTATCTCACTTGTAGAATCCCAGTACTCCAGTTTAAGTTTTCCGCTAACTCCAGCATTTCAAGTGGCAGATATATCTTTTTAGATCACATTTTTTCTCATAAGTGTCCTCTATGCAGCAACCTTCTGTCTAAAAAAGGACCCTGACGTTGCAAATCTTCAAGCTATTGTTTTCATTTCACCAGAATTACCTCTCTGAAAAGAGCCTCATTCACAGAGACTTGGCAGCAAGAAATATTCTGGTTGGACATGGTAAAAAGCTGAAGATTGCGGACTTTGGTTTGATGCGCGAAATGTATCATGAAGTGTACGAAGTAAAGAAACAAAAGAAACTGCCAATTAAATGGATGGCGCCGGAGTCAATCTATGAACAGATCTTTTCTTCCCAGAGCGATGTGTACGTATTTCGTTTTTTCAAATTTAATAACACTTCTTGTATTTATACCGAATAGTCTTAAGGTTTTGATCACAATATTCGAAGGTTCTTTCAGTTATAGGCTTACACTTCATCAATAGAAATTCCTGTTTGGGGTCTTGCCATGATCTAAACTCCCACCCCCTCCCCATAGCATGTTTTTGGTTACTCCATAACTCAATTTTTTTCAACACTATTCCACAATTAAAAGTACTTACTCATTTATTTATTTACTCTCTTTGATTTTCTACGTATAGCTGGTCTTATGGAGTAGTCTTGTGGGAAATTGGAACCCTTGGTAAGCATTAGAATATTCAGTTGTTTTTCGATAAAATAGCATTACTTGTAAACTGTTCGTCTGAAATACAATATAAATCATTTTCCAGCCTACTGGTCAGTTAAACACTCTATTTCCAAAATGCCATGCACTCTGATACGTGAGTTATTTACTAAGCGTGAGGTCTTGATGGCCCGGCGTTTTTCAGTCATCAACCATTTTGACAGAGCGATAAAGGTCAATAAAGGACAAATTAAACCGGAAAATCCTAAGCAAGAAATTTTATATTATTATTCCACCCCACCCCACTGAAAAGGCATATATATTCTCTTAGCTCAGTTGGGAGAGCCGGATCAACATTCCATACCATTCTGTTCCATGTTATATAAAATATCTAAGATAGTAGGCGCGCTATGATTGGCCTAAAGGCCTGTTTGCATGAGAGTGTGTAAACGTGGTTGTGTAAAGCTGACATTTTGGGCGAGAAAAGTCCGTATTTTGGAAAGCATCTTTTTTGCAAAACAAGAACTGATTACGCGTTCAAGACTTCGTGTACAAGATTTGGCGACTGGTAAGAATTTCTCTATTAACCATAATTATAACAAATTTGTCAAATCTGATTGGCTATCTTAGCCTTAATTGGACAGTTTAATAGAGCAGTACGCGTCATGCCTAAGTAATTGGACAGTACTCGCCATCTCGCGCCTGCGTAAATAGCTTTTTTTTCGCCGCTAGCAAACAAAATTTGGAATTTCTTGGGTTTTGATTTTGAAAAATAGCCTATTGTATCACAAATTTTGTTAAGGTTATGATTAATTGGTAACAGACCTTCGTGTCGTTCAACCCGCTCTGTAATCATACTCATGATTAAACAAATCGGACTCCCGCTACGCGGTCGTCCGATTTTGTTAATAGGAAGCTTAAGCAACCACGACGACGTCAAAAAAACAATAGGTTAATGATCAAAACAACAGCTCTGCACGTGCATTACGCTTTTAGTACATTTCTTTGACGTCCACTGCACGACTACGACGTGAAACCTCCTAATTTGACGTTTTATGGAGGATGTGGACATAAGACGACGAATTTTCCTTCCTCTTTTTGAACTTGAAGAACTGAAATCCGTAAGAATTCAACTCCAGGAAAAGTTGCCTGCATTTGACATATTGAGCGGGTCCGAATAGACGCAATTGAGTTTGAAAGAACGCAAATTCTTTTTTTAGCGACGTTTTCACTGCCGTCGTTGTCGTCGTTAATCACTCGTATGATTACAGACCGAATTGTATTCCACTCAGTCCTGTTACCATCACAAATCAGTGCCAGTGAGTTTTGCGTTTTTTCTTGAGTAAGTTAATTTATAAAAGCAATAGAAAGCTTTTTCCCTGTATTTGCATAGCGTGATATAAACACTCGAGGAGTTGGGAGAATTCTCCCAACCCCTCTCGTGTTTATATCAGGTTGTGCAAACACGGAAAACGTTTTCTATTGCTTAAACATTATATTCTTCAAGAACTCATGCTTTTTACTCATGCAATAAACCAAATACATTTTTTGCAGGTGGGTCACCGTATCCACTTTTAAACAACGCTGATTTTGTTGCACTCCTTAGAACAGGATATCGCATGGAAAAACCCGACTTGTGCTCAGATGATTTGTAAGAGATTAACTACATTAGGACTTGTGGATAATTCTTAACATATATGTTGAATATATATAGTTGGAGCGAGCAAACATTTTCAATCCATTAATACGCAGGAATAAGTGGTTTGCATAAGTCTTTCCTCATCCTGCATAGTCAACTAAGGAGTACCAGCAACACCTAGCAACACGAATATTAAGGAACAAAGCAGAAGAGCGAAAAAAAGCTTTTAAGTTAGTTGTTTAGATCACGCCTGCTGATAAATACCATAAAGACGTAATTTTGGTTCACATCCAAACTGATAATCCTTTAAAGCTTGAGAAAAACTGATAGATAGAACTAATTCAAAGGGTATTAAGGCGGCCCCAACTCAATGCAGCTCCATGCAAACTCCTGTGATCTCCGTCAAGCAAATAACTGTTGCAGAGGCTGTATGATCAGTACTCAAGCAATGCTGCTTGAAGTCAATGTGCACTTCTCAAACTCATTAATAATTCATTAAGAAAATACAAAGGAAATTAATGTTTAATGAGTGTTTGGAAATCGGATGAAACACTGCTTAGTATTTGCATCCTTAATTTCTCCTTCAAAAATGATTTTGTTTGAGAAGAAATATCAAACATTCGACACAGTGTTTCATCACCAGATGAAACACCTCGAAGTTCGTCAAAAATACTCCGCTGCGCGTCGTATTTTCAACTCTCTTCTCGGTGTTTCATCTGGTGATGAAACACTGCATCTCATGTTTGATATATTACGTCAAATACTGTGCCGCTCACCAGTGGTGTGACAAGTGGGACCTGTTTGAAATTGGCTTTGTAGCATGGCAAATGTAATAAAGGTGCTAGGTCCAACTCTTAGCCATAACTAACGCGGAGCAAAATCGCATCACCTTTGGCAAGAGTCAAAGACAACCTTAATTACCATCTTTTTTGTTAGAACTTACAGTCGACAAAGGCAGCAGTAAAAGTAGCCTTTACCACCTTAGACTGTGTGTACTTCGGCCAGTGCTAAAGTAATTAATCCTGTAGCAGTGTTTTGGCTCGTTTTCCATTATGTAGGGACTCTGGATTCTGGAATCCGCGAAATGTTTGTTTGTGGAATCCGGAATCCTGGGCTATGGAATCCGAAATACAGTTCAAGGATTCCGGAATCCCACTTACGATTGGAATCCAGAATCAAGGTTTTACTAACAGGGACTGGAATCCATTACTTGGAATCCGGAATCCACGTCGTGGAATCCAGAATCCAAGGGTCGACTAGGTCAAGCGTCAGTTTTTTGTCTTTCTTTCAGCTACGCCCTGATGACGGATTGTTGGAAACAAAACCCGGATAACAGGCCAAGTTTCAAGGAGCTGGTTGAGATGCTTGAAAATTTGATGCTTCAGGATGTGGAATATTTTGACTTTAACTTACTGGATGAGACTAAAGATTACTATCAATTTCAAGAATCGAAGACAGGAGAAGTCAACAGTGATAACAGATCTGGGCAGGAAAAAGTATCTTCTATTGATCTGGCTATTTAGGACTGATCGATTTAAAGTATCTTGAACGATATATCTGTTGTCACAGTAAAAGTATATTCGTTTAAAGTATTTCCTCTCCTTTTCACTGCTCTGCTCAAAGCCTTTTTTTTGTTTTTGTTTGCTTGTTTTTTGTACTCACGTTCAATGTGTTTAAGTGAGGATTCTGTGAGGAAGTGTGATGGTGGTTGATTTTGTCCTTAAGATTACCTTACTCTAGAGAGAGTTTAAAATGTCGTTAGTGAAATTAGATGTAATATATCAAGGATGAGACGAAGTGTTTTATGACAGGATAAAACACTGAGAAGAGAGTTGAAAATGCGACGCGCAGGGGAGAATTTTTGACCAATCAAACTTCGGGGTGTTTCATGAATGTTTGACAAAATGATTTTAAAAGGAGAAATTAAGAATGCAAAATAAAAAGCTTTTAATCTGATTTTCAAATACTCATTAATTTCCTATGTAATTTATGACTTATTAATCACTTTGAGAAGCTTAAATCAATCTTGAAGACATTAAATTTAGCTTCAGCTATTGCATCCTTTATTCAGTAAATTCTTTACTCCTCACATAAATCAGGCAGGGCACCCAAAGTCAATTTCCGTAAAATATCTGTTCGGAAGACGATTTGAGATCTAGAATTTTCGGAACATTTCTTGTAAAATTTCTTGCTTGCCTGCCTCTCCAAGGATTTTAGAACATATAAAAAATGGTTTAACCCATTCGCTCCTGGAGATTTTGCCGAAAAACGCGTTTTGAAGCTAGTCGAGTGGTTTTCTGGTCACGGTCGTGCTATAAAGAGCTAAAACTTACCACAAACCGGCTTACAGGTCGTACACTTGGCGGCCTTCTGATCCAGATGCAAAATATCAGCTTGCGAAGTTCGGGCATGCGCAGAAAGCAAAATTTCGACACAGCAGTCTTGACTTTTACTTTTCGCTTTCTCTCCTCCCTTCTTTTTTCGCTTTTCTTGCCTCATTTTTTTTTTCTCTTGCTGGGCATTTAGTAGGCTTCATTTTGGTGGGAAGAGTTTTTAGGAAAGCTGTTAGGATCTTAGGATTAGGTGAAAGGAAAGGTAGGTGGGTAATGGAACAAGATTTTCATGGAGATTTTCAGGTGCTTGTCACGTGGTTTTTTGCTTCTTTCTCCGGTGTCCTTTACTGAATTGTGCTCATTCTGGTATGGTTTGAAAGATCTCTTGACTCTGCACAAGTTAGTGAAGAAAGTTGTCCTTGACCGTTAAAACTGATGACGTCACAAAGGGTAGATAGATAGATAGATAGATAGATAGATAGATAGATAGATAGATAGATAGATAGATAGATAATCTTTATTTATCTACGGTACAAAATTCGTCAGCTTGAAAAAAATGCCTAAAACTAATATAATAAAAATATTTAAATAAAAAAGCTGCTTTCCACGAATGCCGTGCCTTACAGTTCTTTGAGTAATCGTTTAAATTGCCCAAGGGACTCTGCTTCCCTTAAGTTACAAGGAAGACTGTTCCAGAGAATGGCACCACTATAGCTGAAGCTGTTTTTGTAATAGTTTGTGCACGGTAATGGAACATTGAGTTTATTTTCAGAGTCCCTTAGGTTATATGCGACTTCTCGCCTTTCAAATTTAGAACTAAGATAGTTTGGAGCCAACCCGTGCAGAGACCTGTAAACCATCGTAGCTCTTTGAAATTGTTGCTGGCAAGCTAGGTTTTTCCACCCTAGAAGTTTGAAAAGGTGACCAGCATCTACGTCATAGCTTGAGTAGGTCAAAACACGGGCTGCTCTGTTTTGTAGCTTTTGAACCTTATTCCGTAAGGTTATCCCACAGTTTCCCCAAACAATGTTGCAATAATCAAAGTGTGGCTGTATTAAAGCTTGATATATTAGTTGTAAGGTCGCCTGAGGGACCAGGTGCCTTATTCGTTTTATGGCCCCAATACCAGAAGCGACTTTCTTTGTTACTTTCTCGATATGGCCACTCCAATCAAGTCTGTCATCGATGGTCACTCCTAGTGATTTTGCAGTAGTGACCTGGCTAACTTCAAAATTATTAATTGCAAATATCGGGGACTCTGTGAGAGCACTTAGCCTCTGCCTAGATCCGATAAGCATAAATTCGGTTTTAGTCATATTTAGAGTAAGTTTGTTTGCTCTCAGCCAATTGTGAACATTTTCTAAATCTTGATTTAGATGCAACTGAATATTGTCTGCATTATCACCTGCGTACGTAAGGTGGGTGTCATCAGCGTACATCCTCGGCTCACAATTTGAAAGACAGTTTGGAAGGTCGTTGATGTATAACAGAAATAATAATGGACCTAAAATCGTCCCCTGGGGAACACCACAGCTTAATAAACAGCTTTGAGAGAGCGATCCGTTGATGGAGCACATTTGAGTACGATTCTCTAAATACGACTTAAACCATTGGTGCGCGTTACCATATATGCCGTAATTGCTTAATTTTGATAAAAGGATCTCATGGTCAACTGTGTCGAAGGCCTTTTTGAGATCTAAGAAAACAACGGCGTTGATTTTACCGCGGTCAATATTGTACGCCCAAGTGTCCGTGGCCTCAAGGAGAGCCGTGACAGTTGAGTGAATAGCGCGAAAGCCTGATTGATATTTACAGATTATATTGTGCTCTTCTAGGTAGGCATATAATTGATCATAGACGATTCTTTCAAAGACCTTGGCCATAACTGAGATCACCGAAATTGGACGATAATTGTTTAAGTCGTCCCGATCGCCTTGTTTAAAAAGTGGGGTGACCTTTGCGCATTTCCAGTCATCCGGAAATATGCCTTGACTTATTGACTGGTTAAAAATATCACGGATAGGAATGCAAATGAGATCTGCACATTCCCGAATGAGCCTAGCAGATATCTTGTCAAGGCCAGCTGCCTTTGACCTATCCAGACGATTCAAAAGTGAGAGAACTTTATTTGTACTGGTTGGATGGAGCTGAAACCGTTTATCTGTGCCAGTGAGGTACTTTTGATAACCATCACTATTTGAGGAATCAATATTGCTAGCAAGTTCTGGACCGATAGTAGCAAAGTGATTATTAAATTGGTTCGACAGCACAGTTGGATTTGTTATTGATACTCCATTTACTTTCAGAGATGTCACCGATTTTTTCCCAGATTTTCGCGAAGTAAGTTCATTGATAGTCTGCCAGGTCTTTTTAGAATCGCCCGTATGCTTGTTAAAACTATTTTGATAATAGGCTTGCTTGGCTAATCTGATTTCGCTATTTACTATATTGCGTTGTTTTTTTTTAAAAGTGACCAGTCATTTGAATCATTCGATTTACTTGCTTTAATCTTTAGAATATCACGATCATGCATTCGTTTCTTAAGCTCAGATGTAATCCATGGGGAACTACGCGTGCGAACACGCATTGTCCTCAAGGGAGCATGCTTGTTAACAATAGATAGAAACGAGCATTTCCATAGTAGCCACATTTGCTTGGGATCAGTTGAATTGTATATGTGATCCCAACAATGAGATGCAATATCATTCCGAAAATTTATTCGATTAAATTTTCGAAAGTTTCTGTAGGTTATAGCATTGTGCCCACCAGACATTCCATTCACGGATAATTTTCGATAGGCAAAAACTATGCTATGATCGCTAATACTGATATGACGAACCCCCGAACACACAACTTTATCTGGACAATTAGTATAGATTACATCAATCAAAGTTGCAGAAGTCGGAGTTATTCTGGTTGGTTCAGTGATAAGTTGCTGTAGACCATAAATATCAGCGATACTCATTAATTTGCATGTATTATTGTCATATCGAGTAGCAATCATGTCGCAGAAAGGTAGAAAGGACCTGGACCCGCACGGTCGGTTACGGGCGGTTCAGGGGCGAATGGGTTAATTACCCATCTTTAACGGATTTTTAGCGTAAAAAGGTCACCTAGAATATTTGGGAGCCTTTTTTTCTGGCTGAAATTTTCCAAAAGATAAGTTTTGATCCCTATAATTTTCGGATCACTAGACTTTCAGCTAGGAAATCAGAACAGACGAAAAATTTTTAGGGGATAAGAATATGCTTATATCTACCGTTTAGATACTAAAAGACATACTATATTCTAGTTGGTAGCTCCTGATCAGGCAGTTCTTTTATAATAAATAAACTGGAAAGCGCGTTTCATTGTACATCTGCTTTTATGAGATACATTTCCGCTTGGTTGGCGGGGGCGGGCACTTGAGGGCAGTTTTGGTGAAGGTGAGCTGCCCAGGCTTTCACACCCTGCTACCCTGTTTAAGACAAGAGACTGTTTTTCGTGACCCTGTTTAAGACTGTAGCCCAAATGCTTTGTTTAAGGAGATTATTTCTTTTTAGATAGTATAAAAGACAAAAACAAATTGGGGAAATATATTTATTTAATTTGTTTTAGAGTCACATGCAAAACGATTTTTTTGAGATTACTGACAGAACATAATTAGATTATTTTATTCGTTGCACATGTAGACCGCACAACGCCAAAATTCACACTCGGTTTAAGGCTTCGGGTCTAAAAAGACACCCTGTTTAAGACGGTCAATAGTAAGATTATATACCGGCCCTGTTTAAGACTCAAGACCCTGAAAACCATACCCTGTTCAGCGGCACATACCCGTAGGCCAAACAAGGGAGTGCCCCTCTGTCGAACCACCTCCAAAACTAACGTTTTAAAAAGGAAAAACTTTAGTTGCTATTTTCCAGGGATATTGGGGACAGCGAGGCTCGAACGTCTAGCCTAGCTCCTGGGACGAGGTTGAACTACTCAGCCTGCAGTGCAGGCGTTTTCTTCGTGCGCGCGAATGTTTTGCTCGCGAAAGCGCCCTGTTGAAAGTCCACAAGAGAAGGGGAAATGGGGCGAGTCAGAAGGAGCGGGACTCTGAAAGAGAAGAGAAAAAGTTTTTTTTCTCATCTCCCCCTCCTCTTTCCTCCTTTCGCCCTAGAACCTACCCTCAGGGTAACTATTTTTACTCTCCCTAATCTTTTCCCGTCATGAAATCAAAGATGGCGGTTGCAACAATACGAACATAAACAGGAAGCTTTCGCCCGCTCAAAATATACCTGCACTACAGGGTAAACTTCTCAAGCCTCGTTTATTTCCGAGAAACGTTGTTACAGGTTGGGCGAGTCAACGTTTAATACATTTCCTTACAAAACGTGAGGAACCGTTTACATTGGCTCAGCTAGAAGATCATGATTTTCATCGCAGGGTCTCACGCTTTTGGGATGGTAGCTGATCCTCTTAGCTAGGACCGTGTTCTCTCCATATAAACACTTTGGCTAGCCCAGTCGGGTCATCTTGGTCGAGAGTGGAAGCGGAATCATTTGAATCTTGATATTCATGATTCCTATCGTTTTTGCCTCAATGATTCACGATTCGTACAAGAATTTTCTTCCAGATTCATGATTCACAAAGACTTTTGATCGCCTATTCTCTTTTGCGTTCAAATTTTTCTTTCATACAGACTCGGTATCATCATTCGTTTAGTCTGGGTGCAGAGTTCTTTTGAAACTGAATATTAAGCCGTACCAGATTTCGTAACAGGTTACTGGAGAAGCAAGCGGATTGTCAGCCCCGAATGCACGAATTATATACGGGAGTCCGGGGGCATACTTCCCCGGGAAAAAAATTTGGAAAGATAGACTCTCGGAAACGCCATATCCTGCATTCCCCGGTCGACCCAAGAAAGAAAGTTGTCATCAAAGAGTGAAAGTGAACTTGGGAACTGCTTTTTTTTTTTTCAGCTTAGAAACCTGTGTCCTGCTAAATCTAGTAAATTTGTACCGAAATGGCTCATTTCAAACAAATCGGCATTGTCGCGCCACGTGTAGTTGCGTGACCAGATATTGATGAGACTTTTGGTGTTGAGTTACATGACACCCCAAACCAAGTCACGTAGGTGCAGTTGTAGTGTGCTGCCCATTGCAGGTAAGTCTTTTAAATTAAACGCTGAAGAAATGCAAGCATCCCAGGGTATTAGTGACTGATTGTGACCCTAAGTGTAGTAAAAACACATTAGTGGTGCTTTCATGGCGTTGTTGGCAGCAGAAAAAATCATAAAGAGCATAATTTATCGAGGCTGCTCCAATCGGCTCGTACAAACATATTTAAGCTTAAACTGTATGGACTGTGCATGAAGGAGATTTTGTTTTACTGCCACTCTGTTCTTTTAATAGTCTCCCATAGAATTTACTCGGGTCATCCCATTTCGATGTATCTTAAAGTGCAGTGAGTAGGTTTTAGCACTTTTTAATCTTACAAACCCAACAAATGTAATTGGCTCATTTCGCGATATTGTGTGGTGTTTTGAACAGTGCGGTCAGTATAAATAGTGGAATGGGGTCTAGGGACCACGGACTGTGGACTGAGTATAAAACACGGGCTAGGTATAAAATGCCGACTACGGACTAGTTTGGTAAAAACTGTGCTGATTGGTTCCGGGTTATGTAAAATAAGACCAAAAGATCGCTAAATAGCATAACATGTGAGTTTAAATTATAACTACAGTTGACTCCTGATAATTGAGTTAGTTGATCAGTCAATTCCAGCTGCGCCCAGTGCCCAAGTATGAAGTCTTATTTAGAATCATAGCACTATTACAAAGGAAGTCGTTAATTGAAACAAAAAATCACACATAAAAATGTTTGAAACGGCCCTATTTGACTGTGTGATCAATGAAAAATGTTGCAGCATTGACAGAGGACAGGCCATTTGACCTCTTTTTTTCGGCCCCACCCCCAGGAATTTGCCATCCAAGGCAAAAAAAAAAATGCTAATGCCTGAGGGTCAGGCTGGGAGAAGAGGGGGGGTGTTTTGTAGGGGAAGGGGCTAGGCGCAGCTGGAATTGACTGATGCATAACTCTAACCTTCGCTATTAAAACTCGAACCAAAATTGATTTCCCCTGGATTTCCGTCATATATTTAACAATTATTCCCTGAGCCCGAATGGGCTCTGAGTCAATAGCCCATGAGGCTGAAGGGCGAATGGGCTATTGACTCAGAGGCCATGAGGGAGAGAGGAATGATTGTTTTAGTAAAATCCAACTAGTTGGTCAAAAATATTGAGACAAAACAACTTCAGCTAGTTAAAGCTAGACTTTAATCTTTTTTTTTTGCTGCCAAAAAGCCTGCGCTTTTCGCTACTGGTGGGCTATAACATATGTTGTAGGCATAAAGTTTACTATTGGAGGCTGATGTTGTTTGTCACAAAAATTGATCTAATGTGAAACAGCTTTACTTCTCAAAACAGTAAAATGCATGCTCTATTTAGGCAATGTTTTGTAATGTTACGTTCTGATTTATAATCTAGAAGTTCATTTGACATTTCTACAATTAAATGTGATTAAAATGTTCACTATGCAGTAAAAACAGTTTTTTTCCTTATACTCCCGGCTATTTTTTTCAAGCTCCCGATAACTTGAACCTTTTCCGATTTCCCTTGAAGGTTCGAGTTATCGGGAGTTGACTGTACTCCTAGAAATATTTGGTGGAGTTGTGCTGCCCAGTTCTCCAAATCCTGAGCCTAACCAAAATGCTTTTTTCTACACCCATTTTTAGTACTGCTCTCGGACTCTAACATCCATGACAGGGGTCACAAACCTGATCTACTTGTTTACATTGGTGTAAATCATGTCATCATCTCTTAGAATATGACTTGGATGAGATATTTTGGTTATTATTCATGTACAGGTGAGTAATCCCTCCCCCATAAATACAGCTTTCTTGTATCACAGAATGCACCCCTTTATTGACCCTTTTTTGTCTCAGTTCTTTATTTCCTTAAATCCCTAAGGCTTTAAAATAGAATGGTGGCATCTGCATGTATAAAAATTTTACTCTCACTAACACCAATTTATTTGGTTCCTCTCAATTTCATATCCTCTATAAATTGAATTCTCTTCTTACTCTTCCTTTTTATAAAATTTATAGTTTCATTTTCAGTTGCCTTGATTAGAAGCATAACCTTCCTTGCCCTTACATGTATGTAAAGAGGATTAAGAATGGCTAGAATTAATAAAGGAAGTAGATGTAATTTTAAACTTTGAACGTAGGGCTGTGGTTTAAGAAATCATTGGACCTCCAATGATTTCAAGTGGGTTATTTTAAGAAAGTAAGTGCTTTTCCAGTCTATGCTACTATATACGCTTTTAATATTGAAACTAATCACAACAACTTTTATGCAGTAAAAACAGTTTTTTTCCTCACTCCTGGCTATTTTTTTCGAGCTCCCGATAACTTGAACCTTTTTTGTTGGCGTTGGGCAAACTGAAAATTGTTTTGAATGCAGTTTTGTGAAACATGGGCAAACTCTGTTTATATAACTGACCCAAAAAGTTTAGGAGAAGTTCTGAATGCTGTGACATAGTGCATTGTATATTTTTATTTCTATTTTCTCTGAAGGTGACTTGTAGCTACAAACTGTATCAAAGAAAGGAAGGAAAAGAATGTCAGCCGCAGGCCCTTTTCCTAGAAAGAAAAAGGCAGTGAAGCACAGACTTAAATCTAGTAAACCTGAATTTGAGCATGAGGAATATGAAGCTGCTTCCAAGGCCAATCCAGAGCAGGTATTACTTATTTATAGCAACTTTACTTCATTGATTATTAAATGAGTGAATCCACTAGTAGGAAAGTTAAAGTGATTCATGTGTTCTGATTGGCTACTCAGGAGGAGGCATCGTGGCCTGTCTTTTCCTGTGTTGGTTTCACGTGGAAAAGTTCTCTTCATGGTCATATAATAATAAAGTGTTATTTACCAAGCTTGTTCAGTCAAGATTTTAGGATATTGGTTTTGTTTCGTTTTGTTCGTTTGTTTGTTATTTTTTGCATTTTTACTGTCTTAGACTTCGCCGGTTATTAAAATAATATAAATAACTTTCAATGAATGAAAACCTTTAGTATGAATTTGGCTTAACAGTAAGACAAAATCTTGTTTTTGTTCTCTCTAAGGTCCTTTAGAACCAAACAATGCCTGTTGTGAAAATGCTTGCTGATTGAAGAGAAGGGGTTTTTAATATACCATAAAATTCCAAAAATAAGCCCTTCCATGTACAAGCCCTTCGAAATATAAGCCCCCCAAACCAGTAACGCAAAAAAACCTTGCGTTAAATCGCCCCTTCAAATATAAGCCCCCGGGGGGCTTATACTTGGAAAGATGCCCTCAAATACAAAGTAAAACAAAGCCAAAATAGTAAATTTACTTCCAAATATAAGGCTAGCCCAATCGATTTTGAAACCTAAATTTCCCTCTGTAGATAATCCCCTCTGAATATAAGCCCCCCCCCCAAAATAAGCCCCTCAAAAAGGGCCTTTGAAAAATATAAGCCCCAGCGCTCATTATCGGAATTTTACGGCATGTTCACTTAGTGTTGATGTGCAGTGATGCCAGGATAGCATGCACCACACATTCAGTTTTTATAAACATTGTTGATTCACAATCAGTGTCTTTTTCAGACTAAACAAGCTGAAGCATTAGCAGAACAGAGTCCAGCAGAGGTCTGGAGCCAATCACTTGAAAATTCTCAGGGGCGACCCGTTGAGGTATTTAAAGTAGATTAGAAAACAATACTGCAAGTACACCAGCCTCATCAACCAATTAACAACCAAACAGCCAAAAATTAGCTGATGGGATATGAAGAGAAACTGCTGGCTAAAGAGCCAAATTACCAGAGTGGTAAAGTTCTAAACAAAGTGGATGAGGAAAATGAAAATGGAACCAAACAACCATCAGATTATGTTCTTTGGAAATGGGCCATTTTAAAGTTATAGATGGAAGTGAGGCTGGAGGTGACCTTGTAGCCTGTGTGGCAAGCGTTTGAAAAGGAAGGGAAAGGGGGTTGGGGGTGCAAGAGAATAGGGGTGCACCCCTCGCATTTCTCTTGAGCCTAAAACTTCCTTTCCCAGCTTCTATTTCAAATGCAAGCCACCAGCCACCAGGCTAGTGACCTTGTTTTGATACACACTTTCCTGCTTTATTTATGTAAATCAAGTTTTTCTAATGCTAACTAGTATTTTCAAGGACAGTTTCCATAATAAAGCAAAGGATCAAAACAATTAAGGTTAACCTCAGCCTCACATTCACTCGAAGGCTAGGGCACTAAGTCCACAACTGTAAAATGGTCTTTTCTTAAAAAAGCATTTTAAAAATACCACAATCAAACTTGTTAAATTACACTTTTACACGTTTTTTGCATATGTTGTAGTTAATTTTTATCTCAGGTAATTTTTATTTTTCCTTTGTTTCAACTTCATTAGCATTCATTACCATACCCAAAAACAGAAGAAAAATAAAATTTACCTGAGATAAAAAAATTAACTGTAACATATACACTGTAAGATCATCTGGAACCAAATCATTAGTTGTTGGAAACATGCTTGCCAGGTGGAGAGGAGGAAAATCAATGTTTTGCTACTTGATACAATTGCCACCATTCACATGTAATCCAACATACCTTTATTTAACAGGCCAAATATTATTATTGTTAACAAGACGTACAATGTGGACAGGACATTTTGACAAATCACTCAATGGACTTTGATAGAATCAGTAACAAAATAATAAATGTAAGAATAATAAGAATAAGAATGAGAATAATGTTAACAGGGACAGTCACTTAAAGATCCCATCTGTATCTAAAGAAAGCAGGGCTAAACAGAAGTGTTCTGCCATTACGAAAAGCTTGTTTACTGGGAACAGCAAGAATCGGTGATGGACACCTAAAGGTGATGGATACATGTTACTAAGGTGACAGGAGGTCACCTAGTACCAGGGAATGATCCTGTTGGACGACCAAGAAAATAGTACGAACTTCAACTGACAATAATAATAATAACAATCATCATCATCATCATCATCATCATCATTATAATATTACAGCCAAAGCAGGTCAAGCGATCCCGTCGCTAACGAACTAATGGATTCATTAATGGCAAGATGATTTCGTTTGTTGATTCAATAATCCATTCATAAAACGAACAATTCAATATTCATATTCAGCCTCGATTCAATGATCGAATTTTGATTTGATTGTTGTTTTTTCAAAAACTACACTTTCCACAAGTCGTCCTCAGAATTTTGTTTTTCCTTCTTTTTTTCTAAGAGTCGAGTGCGGGTGTGTTCTGAAGTTCAAACCCAAACAAACTGTTACATGTACGCCATTTTGCTGCCAATAATAGTGGAACAGACCTGACCTCTTAGAAAACACGATGGTCAAACTGAGGTCAGTTTATGTGCGGTGATTGGTGGATTTCGATCCTTGGCCTTTGTAAGTTTCTTTGCGTTTGCGGTCTGTCTATTCTTGCTCTTATTTTAATTAAACGTCATGAAAAACGCAATCGTAAATGGTAGAAAAAAGGACTGGTGAATACGATTGAACACAACAGACAAGAATAAAGAACAATATAGACTTTGTTCATAAACCAAATCAGCATTTAATTATTGAATCGAGGTCCAATTTGACTATTGGATTATTCAGTCATTATAGCGGAGCTCCATTTCTAAGTAAATCTACCCATCCCAGAAAATTTGGTAATCACGTGACCGTACACCGACCGACCGCCCGCCGTCCGTCCGCACCACAGGAAAACCAATGTTTACTCTCACACTTTTAGCTACTTTGGGAGCCCAAGAGAAAACTAATTGCACAGGCTGCACATCAATGTTGTGATCAATTGACAGCTATCAAAACAGAGCATCCGCTGACAAGTATCACCTGACCGTACCACGGGCTCAAGTGTCGACCCATCGAGGTCGAGTATTTTTTTTAATTTATCCGCTGACAAATTACCAGTTTCAAATGATGGCAGGCTCAAGTTTATTTTTTCCAAGGATTCATATCAAATATGTTGTGTTTATGTCACTATGGCCCCGCACTATTAGGATTTTGATTTCAAACTGACCTCGGAAGCGAAAATTCATCCAGTTTTTTTAAAAGTACAGGCGGGGAAGACCATATCTTACCATGGTCACGCGTTGGTCACGCTCTACGTCCAATTTTTATACTCTGATTGGTCAAAATTTGAGAGGTGAGTTTATGCGGAAAAATTATGCAGCATCTTGAAAGTAGTTTACTTTGACAGCTGAAGCTGACAGAGTTTTGTGTCAACTTGTGATGTTTTTAACTGTCTTTTTCCTCTGGAGGTACAAAATGAAATACAGCTGCTATCAAGAGTCTTCTGTTATTCATGGCTGGTCTGTTTACTGGGTTTTGGTTGAGAAATGCGTCGCTTGTCAAAATTCGGTAATTCGATTTCGGATGGCATCGTTTTCGTTTTTCACCTTGCTTAATGCGTAAGAGGGTTTAAAAGTCTTAAGCAACTGTGGCCTCCCTTGATAGCTTTCAGGAACTGAATCTCGAATGGTAAGCCTAAGTAATTATTGTATTTGATGTTTGTGTTTCATGAAGTCTTGCACAGTTCACGCTGACAGTTTATGCGGCAAGTTTATGCACGTTTGCAGGATTTGAGTCAATGGTCTGACCTACTATCAGGTTTGATATAAGCTTACAGAAAAAGCCTTCAGATATATTTGCTCACCACAAATAGAAAGAAAACGTTCCGAAGGATATTTAGTTATAATTTTGGCTGTAGAAAGAAAACTTTGAGCGATTTTCTTGCTTCGAAGAGTTCACCTTCGAAAACAGTAAACACCGCGCTGGGAAGCCGGCTAAAACATAAACTTAAGCTTTATGCTTAAAGACTCAGGATTTTTAGAGACACTGTAATACTTGTCTTCATGAATGAAAATTGTTGTCTCTGTAAATGTTTCACGGAATTATATCTCTTTTTTTGATTGTTAGTAGTCTCTCTTGCAATTTTAATCGCTTGTCCGTGCCATTTGTTTTCATCGTTCATGACCATCACTTGTAGGAGTACTCAAAAATGTCGCGCGTATCAAACGCTTTATAAGATTACACATCGTTATAACTGAAACCATTAAATAACAAAACAAATAATAATAAATTCGCTATTATGTTGAAGCGTAACTCTGTTAATGTTCATTCAAACACTCGACCACACTGACAGCTCGCACTATAGAAACGAGAACCAGCTGGCCGTATGGGTGATTTTGGAAATTTTCTGAAATTTTTGAACGGTTTGGCTCGTCCTGAATATTGACTGAGTGCAATTTGTCTAGAAAAATTGTGAAATACCGCATTCTGTCCGAGCTCTGTATGATAAATAGTACTGTTTCACCTCAAATGTGGTGTATAAAAATTATAAAAGGTTGGTTTAAACGCCCCCAGATTTGTTGGCAAGAATTTGTAAAGTAAACCTGTCGAACGCAAAAAAAATTGCCGTGATTTGTTTTCCAAGAATTTGTTTTCGAGGCCTAATCTACTTTGATCTTGAATGTGATCGAAGATGTTTGCTATTGTTTGGGTGTACATATAAGGCTATCAATTCGATGTAAGATGTTTCACTCTAAAATAACTTAGCCTTTCCCTCAAAAGTCTCATGAATGTGCCCTTAAGTTAAATGATTTGTGGATTAAATATTTACTGTTTGATTTAAATTATAAATTTATTAAAATTGGAGCTTCGCTTTTAGCCCTGGCTAAATCTATACATTATGAATGGATTATTGAATCGACAAACTGAATCATGTTTTCATTCATGAATTTATTAGTGCACTAGCGACTGGAACGTTTGACACGCTTTGACTGTGAAAAAGAGTGTTGGTTCAATTTTGTTTGTGTTTGTTTCTTGTATATTTTTTTTGTTTTTCAGAACGTTGGTACATTGACGGATCTGGACAAATTGTACATGGCTTTGGCTGAAGTTAAAAAAGAGCACCTTTTCAATACCCTTTACTTTGGTCTAGGAATCAACAGTTTAAACGCCTTAGAGAATTACAGTATTGGATCAGACAAAGCCCAAAGTCGTCTTATATCATCTACTGATCTAGCTGACTTAAAAGAGGAACTGAAAAACCGGCTATTCTCCTTTCATCAACTTGCTGAGGTACCTGTTCATATACATGTATACACCGCACACCATCTAGCTTTTCCTACATAAACTATAATAGACCCATTCACCTTTTAATAAAGGGCAAAAACCGAATATCCACATCCAGCATAAAGGCGATACCCAAAGTCGCGAAATTTGGCAGAGCCACAGTTATATCCTCGTTTGTTTTCAACAATGACTTTCAAATTTGGCAACTTTACTGATTTTACGGCGTTCCCTCCAGCCATGTTAACCCTTTAAGCCCCAAGATCCACATACAAATTTATTCTCAAGACTGATGCCCATACATTTCGTTTAAGAAAAGTTGAGAGAATTTGGTTTAAGATCAAAGCGTTTTCTCTTTGGTAATCAATTTAGTCATTCTCATAACCTTTACTCTTGATAATCTGCACATAATTATTGTTAGGAGAATATTGATTCTGGTCACATTCGAGACCTAAAGGGATAACGGTTTTTGGCTAACTGATCCCAGTCAAAAGTTGAAAAATCGTGAAAGGGTCCATTAGGCGAAGACGTTATTGGAGTTTAGTGTCAATTGGCAAGAAGTTGTTTCGCCCGAACGTAAGTCCATTCGCCCGATGTTTGTTTGTCGTTCTTTAATTACTAAAATGGTTGAAATCACCGGTCTTATTGTTTTAACGTTATTGTGGTTACTGTTGCTTTTTAGAAATACAAACCTAGCAGCCTTCATGAGACGTGTAGAGTAAAGGGAATTTCAGTGATCCAAAAACAAGACGTTTCTGTGACAAAAGCTATAGGTGTGGGCCCTTTTGTTGGATATGTATGCGAAGCTCAATGGACAAGGCCTGATGGAGTTCAGGTTTGTGCCATTTTGGAATGAATTGACATAATGAAGGATAACGCGTTTCTGGGTCTCGTTAATCATAATACATGTTAGCGTACCTTCTTTATCAGCTACAAAGGGTCCAAAATACCTTAGCTAGGTTTATTTCCAGGAAGTTTAAAACTGTTATGTTAAGGTGGCTCGGTTGGATTTTTTAGGGCCATTCCTTTCAACGTAAGAGTAGTAAACTTCTTCGCCATTGTCAAAGATACAGGAAAAGGATTTATTTTAAAAACAAGGTGAAAATTTGCTATGAAGAGTATTTTTTGTTGACATCAGATCTCAGCACTGGGAGGTTTCAAAAATTCCCCAAAATCGTTAAGGGAGTTTGTTCCTCCAAAAGTCACTTCAATGTTCTTGATGTTTGGGCATGAAGGTTTAATGATTACAAACACAGTAAAAGCCAGTGGAGAATCTTGAAACTCGGCCATTATCTATAGAAAACGAAGCGCGTTTTTGAAACGCAATTTCACCGCATCCATAGTAGTTTTGCCGTTTTTTCCTAAATGATATTCTAAATATTTCCGTCAATCTTTTGATTAAATAAAAGGTGCGAGAAATAGTGAAAGCAGGACAGGAGAAGAAGAAACCTGCACAACTCCGCCAAGGAAAACAACAATGCCACACACGTATGACGGAATGACCATCAACAAAGTTTGTTCGCGAAAACCGCTTGAACCCACCGTTTCAAAAAGAAACACTCCTTGCACGATTTAACACAAAAAGTAACATCTTTTAAAAAAGAAAGAGGAAACAAAGAGGAACGCGAGCTTTCAACTTTTGCTATATCCGTCGTAAGGTATTTAACTGCCTGTCTATTTGTTTTTTGTTTTTTGTTTTTTTTTTCAGCAAAAGGTGTGTCTTCGGTACGATGAAAAAGTTGACACACCGTCACTGTTTCTGCATGAAGCAGAAATGGCAAATGTACTTCGTCATAAGAACATGCTTTCTATTTATGGTGTGGTAACTGGAAGTTCCTATTCACCCACTTTTGCTTTGGTAAGTTTAACTACAAAATCATTTTATTTTTGGTCATTAAAGTGTAGAAATTTGGCCGAACAACGCCGTTTGAAGCTAGTTAAGTCCTTTTGGCCTGGTTTCGAACGAAAAAGGAACGCAAAACGCCTCAAAAAGTTGTTTACAAGTTAAACTAGAGCTATGCTGCTCCTTTTGCGGGAAAACTCCCATTCCATCGTGGAATATGGAAAGGGAATATACCAGTTTGATAATGCGAAAATCTTGCATTTAGTACATTGCGCTAGCCGTCAATAATCCCTCCCCCTCCCTCCTCCCGTGGTTTTATTTTTATACGCGCGCTCAACAATCTCTAAAGAGAAGAAAAGGAGTCTGAACAGGGTAGTACGTATGCGTGTCACAGAGCATTGTAAATTCGGTCCTTTCACGGTAGGTAGTGGAATTCGCAGAATATGGGAACCTCTATGAATTCAGGGACTTCCGAACTATAGAAGAACTATGCAGGTTTACAATACAGGCTGCTACTGCTCTGGAATACGTTGAGTCAAAGGGTGTCATTCACCAAGCGGTCAACTCAAATACCTGCCTGGTTGTGTCAAAAACTGAGGTGAGCTTATATTATGAAGTTTTTGTTGTGGTTGTGGTGAACACCTGTGAACTGCTCTCAATAAAGTCACGATGCCTTGTGTTTCCTCCCTTTTAGCCTGTAATCTTCACAGGGTCCAGAGGAGATGTGTTTGTCGTTAGAACATCAAAACCCGTCGAAAACCTCCGAAAAAATGGGTTATTTTGATCTCGTTACAGTTTTGTCACACGTTCTATATACCGCAAACCAAGCCGAGACTGAGGGCTCGCAGAATCGGCTTACAGTATGGATTGTCCTCTTTATAACTCGGCACTTCGGGCGACGTGCCGTGAGCCAGCGAGGATATGGCTTGCGGTTATTGATTTTCAAAATGGCGAACAACAAAGATCTGGGTCAGACAGGAAGCGAACAAATCGTTTACAATAGATTCATAAAGATCCCACTAGGCTAATTAATCGTGCTAAGCGACAGGTATAGACATTTCTCAAGGTGAGAATTTAAATAAGTAATTCATTTATTCACACGAAACTCCTCTGGACCCTGTGTAATCTTGTTTTGTACTGTTGCTAATATAATTTCTCACTCGCTAAAAAAAAGGGATCAATTTAGATTTCTGGGAAACTGCCCACCTACCCCTCCCCTAAGTCAACATTAACACTAACTTCTCACTTAGGGCAAAATGTTGGGTTAGGGAAGGGGTAGGTGGGCAGTTTCCCAGAAACCCAAGTTGATTAAAAAAAGTCTCTCCCTCTCAATCACCATCTCCCCACCTGGTGAAGTCCATATCGGGTTTGTGCTTACGCAAGGCCCTCCCCACATGAGAGGGGTAAGGCTAACACTAACGCACAGTTGTAAGCTTTTCCTTATCCAAATAAACAAACAAACAAAGGCAACGTTGTACAACTGTATCTTTATCTAACCATTAAAAAACGTCGTCAGTCAACTTCCTTTAGTGCCTTTACAGCGGCAGGACAAGCGCAGTCGGTAGAGTGTTTGACGCCAGGGTGCGGCTTCGCGGGTTGGACTCCCGGGATCGGGTCTTAAAGGTGCTATGTCACGCTATTTGCCATTTTTAATTTCAAAAAGCTAAAACTTTTCTTCACATCAATCTAATGGTCCATGCTGGACATGCATGGATTGAAACTTGAAAAAGTTGGGCCAAAATTTTCAAGTTTAAATGCTATACATGCAAAATTCTCCAAAAAAAATCATGTTTGGTGCTTCCTCTATGATTTTTTTTAAAATCTTCTTCATATCATGAAGCCATAGCAACGTTGATCTTTTCACATGGATATAACATGTAATTTTCACGTGTGAAGATGTCATGTTTTCGCTCGAAATTTCATTGTTGTTTATACAATAATTTTTTTTCAAAGGTTTTGAGTACTTTGTTAGCTAGGAATTGCGCTTTTGACTTCGGAGTTTAAGACCTCCCTGGAGAAATGCCCCCTCTATCAACGCACATTATGCGTCACTCCGAATTTCTGTTTAACTCTGACTTACGTCTACGTTCCTTTAGATGAAGCTTGGTGGTCTTGGATCTTGCCAGTATGACACGGAAATGAAAAAGTGAGTATGTGTTTGTATTCTGGTCCCGGACGAGATTTCTTTGGCGGTTAAGGTAGACGTACAAGGCAAGTCTTTCGTCTCCGCCCTTCTCTCATGGAATAGCGATATAACGACTTGTGTGCATTTGCAACTGATTTCACTTAAAGGTATATTTTCAGTTGCTTTTCGAGTGTAGCGCCATGGAGCTTTTAAGTCGTGCGTTTTATGCTACTTTGTCAGACGTATTTAAAAAAAAGCAAAAACGTTGATAATGAAACGTGCTCTCCCTCCCCCCTGCCCATTTCTTGTGATGCTTGTGGAAATTTTCAAGTTGTTGGCTAAATGCGTTTATGTATATATTTTTTTCCAGAAACAAGCCTGCATATACACAGAAAGACGTGGTGTACCAGTTTGCCAAGCTCTTCTCTGTTCAGTTCACTGGTTTTAACTACAAGGTTAGGGTGACAGATGAGAATGTGGCCAGCAGCTTCAAGGTAGTCTTCTTGATACCCGATTGGATTCGCACCTTTGATCATATATAGTTTTGTGAAGTATTTTCAAGGTTATAAGTCTGCCAAAATAGGTTCTTGTATTTGGGGTACTTTTTGTCAAATTAGGCGTAGTAGGTTCTTAATTTTTATGAAAAAGATAATATATTGTTGATTACAAGGATATTAATTTTAATAAACTTGAGTTTAGTGCAGTTTTAGTTCACAATTTTATTATTTTAACCATAACAAAACTGATTACCGAAATAAGGTACAAGTTGGCACAGTATGTTCTTATTATACGTAAATTTACAAGTTGAAAGTTACTCTCCTTGGTTAAACTGTTTATCATAATTTAACTGAAACCGAGCCCGGGCCACGTGTAAGAACCTGCCTGATATTGCTTGGCTAAGCAGGTTCTTGTATTTTTGGGGTATTAAAGTGGCAAATTTCTGCCAAAAGGTTCTTAATCCACAGGTTCTTATTAGCGGGTGTTTACTGTATCAGAGTTGTCCTTGATCCATTAGTCTCGTTCAATTTGCTGTTTGTTTTTTCAACCATCATTTTAGTTTTTCATTGGTTTGTGTCTTATTGCCGATAGCAGTCGTGTTGGCTCACTTATACGAAAACAGTACAAACACCGAGTTTGCTTTATTTTTATCCCCACGGTCAGCTAACCCATACATGTCCAGCTCTAACTATTAAAACCGCTACTATTGGCTTGTTGGTTTTAAAGAGTTGGAGTCGAGTAGGAGTAGTAGGAGTTGGGTTGGGGGTAGGTGATAGCTGTAAGCAGTAGTTGTTAAAGAATAATAAAGACCAAGATGTAAGAAGCACACTCTCGGTACCTTCTCTTGTAGCATGCGAGTTGCTCGCATGCTACAAGAGTTGCTCCCCTAACATAACTATTTTGGTGGAGAACCCGGGCAACTAACCTTGAAAATACTTCACAACAGTAGTATGCGGATGATTAAGCGTTAAATTTTTAAAATTAATTACGCTAGGAATCTCGCAGGGTTTTTTTTGCAGATACTCCTAAAAAAGTAGATAACATCCATCGAGCAATATGTTTTGCGTATTCTTGCTTTCCTTTCGTTCAGTTTTAGTCAGAAATTCAGCTATTTTGACTTCAGATAGCCGCCATTCTTTTAGTTCACTCATGAATAAACAGCTGGGCCGCCGCGCCTGGAAACGAGGGTGATCGATGGTCTATTGCTTGTGCTACCTTTTTTCTAAATCAGCCTTGTTTCCAAGCCCCTCGCATCTTCCAAATTTGGTCAACGCCAGTTGGTTCTCAAGAATTAGCCGCGGGCTTGGAACCAATCACAATCAAAAACGGTGAAATACTTTAAATTAAGTAATTCTTATCATTATCATTATCGTTATCGTTATCGTTATCGTTGTCGTTATCGTTGTCATTGTCATTGTCATTGTCATTATCATTATCATTATCATTATCATTATCATTATCATTATCAGTATCATTATTATTATATTTTTAACTGAATTTTTTAACCCCTTCCACTTTTTCCCTTCAATGTTTTAGGCCTCTGCTGGAAGACATGGCTACGCTTGCCCTTCTCATTTTTGCGACGTTTTTAATAGTTGTATGCAAGAAAACCCAGAAGCAAGACCTTCGTTTAAGGAAATCAGAGAATCACTTCTTGCACAAGTAGGTTTTCACACACTTCTTTTCGTGTACCTTCCGCTAGTAATTCCACCACATCATCATAGATGAACAAATGTAAATCCTCCCTCTTTTTAGCCTCAATTAACATTATAGAGCTTTAGATTTGAGGACGATTACTACGATGACTACGAGAAAGAGATTTTCTCATTACTAAGTAGTGCACTTAAGCGCGTAAGCCAGCGTCATTTTGGCGGGAAAACGTGATAGCGGTAGTCATTTTACAACGGTTTTCATCGTGAATGTCGTTGTGGCGGGAGCAAATTATCAAATGTAAGAATTTTTATCATTTTGGTATCGGGAGAGGACTTTAAAATCTCCTTCAGTATAAATAAGCGTACTATTTTTTTTGGCGAAAAAAAAAAAGTAAAATGAAACTTTTCGGGATGTCCTTTTTTTTTAGAACACGCGAGTTAAATCTCGTGTTCGTTCTCATCCTCAAGTCTGAAGCTCTCTATTATTTGACCGAAACCGGTAATTTGTAATGGTAACAGGACTGAGTGGAGTCCAATTCGGTCTGTAATCATACGAGTGATTAACAAAATCGGACGACCGCGTAGCGGGAGTCCGATTTGTTTAATCACGAGTATGATTACAGACCGAATTGGACGATACGAAGTTCTGTTACCAATTAATTACAACTTTAACAAAATTTGTGATATAATAGGCTATTTTTTAAATCAAAACACAAGAAATTCGAAATTTTGTTTTGCTAGGAGTGGAAAAAAAAAAGCCATTTAAGCGCGCGCGTGATGGCGCGTACTGTCCAATTACTTAGGCATGACGCGTACTGTCCTATTAAACTGTCTAATTAAGGCTGAAAGCAGGGCAGTTGATAGCCAATCAGATTTGACAATTTTGTTATGGGTATGATTATTAACTGAAGCGGTATTTCATAAACGCTACTGAAATTAAGATGTTCTGTGTGTTGGAGTATGTATAGTTATTGAACATATTCGCTTAAGAAGCTGATTAGCCTACAACTGCCTGTATCAAGGGAATACTCATAACACCCTCGCTTGTGTCCGCCCAATAGAGGCAAGAACGATCAACAACTTATCGATAAGTAGCGAAAAGAACAATAAGAATTAGTAAAATGATCACCTAAAGGAAAACGTTTTGGTCATTAAACAAATTATTTCAACTAATTTTGTAAGAAAATGTCTGAAGATCAGTCCAGAAAATTGGTATGTAGATATTAGCACTTCAGGTGTATGGTTCTGCTCATTATAGGTTTCACAACATTTTATTTACGTAGAAGTTTCCATCGAAAGTGAGAGTAACTACTACGTTTATTGCCGTGTCACCGGATTTTATCGGCTTTAAAACTGGAGAGTTGATTACATTGATCGCTAAGGACAGGCACAAGTAAGCAATGACCATTTTTTATGTATAGTCGATTCCTCTAGTAGAAACCTTTTTGAAACCTTTTGTCAGCTGAATAGAGATGGTACCTTAGGGAGGTTAAAAAGCAACGCTTGTATGCAGGTGTCTTCTAGTCAACACAGATGTCCATCACATAAGGGAGATCAAGAGTGCATTGTTTGTACTTCTTTATTTGGCTGGGAACGTGCCTAAGTGCCCCTAGTCAAAAAAGGTTTTTCCTGAGGAAGATAAAAGTGGAGTGTTAATGTTTATTTCCGACCATGAAAAAGTGCCCTCTAATTAAGAGAGGTGTCCTTCTAAGGGAGGTTAAAAATGCAGTGATATACTTGGCTGGGACCATGGCAAAGTTTCCTATAAGATATCCCTATAAAAATAAACCTAAGGGATGGTCCATGTGGTATGTATCTAAGGATTTGCGTTTGTTTGTAGGGAAGACAAAACTGTCTGGTTAGGTGAGAGACAGGACAGGAAAATCGGATTCTTTAAGAGCGAGCATGTGAAAGAAGTGTTGGGTTATGACATTATGGACGGTAAGTTGGTGAATTCGTTTCTGATTACCAAATTAATATATCCTGTCACGTCAGTGTATAAAAGCTCCCTTTCAGACCAGGATCGGTTATATTAATTAATTAATTTATTTATTTATTTCTGGGTACGTAACTACAGAAGAACAGCCAGACGGAGACAAACGCATCAAAAGTAAGGGAAGTGCGCCAAACAGTGCAAAAGGTCTCGTGTACAGTCAAAGTCGGATCCATTGTGCAACATTGGACATCCAATGATCTGTTTTATAGGCCGCTAATCATTAACGCCTGCCTTTTTTTACCAGATTCATTTGTACCACCAGAGATTCGAGCGCGGGGTCCAGAAGCCGAACTTGCTTTCCAAAAAGCCCTGCAGAATGGAAAGGTGAAAGTTTACCGTGGTCGCATAATGCTACTTGGCCAGGACAGGGCGGGCAAAACGAGTCTCAAAAAATCTCTTTTGGGAATGCCTTTCAACCCACAGGAAGAGAGTACAGTTGGAGTTGAAGTTGATCCTTCAAAATGCCAAGTGGACGTCGACAAAATTAAAAATTGGGAGCCCATAAAAGATAAGAAGCTTGAAGTATCTGAGTTTGCTGAAGGCATTGCAATGCTCATCGCGAAGGATTTGAGTAAAGAACAAACTGACAAACAAGATATTTCGCAGTCCGCGGAAGTTTTAGAAGAGGTACCGTTGATGAAACATTGTACATTTTTTTAGCCTTTTTTTGCTGTGGTCGAGATGACGATTTTGTTTCTTTAGCTTGAAACTAATACTTTCAATGAGATTATCTCTACCAACTACTTCGTCTGATTTTGTTTTGCTGTTGTTTAATGTTGTATTTTTGTTGTCTGGACAGTGAAGATGTTTTTTGCTGATTTACTATGTTGAATTTAAGGTGGCTCGTCTGGATTTTTTAGGGGGGATACCTCCCAAGTTTGAGCATTAACTACGTCAGCATGAGTAAAGATATTGGGAAAAGGTTACCACAACTGTATTAAAAAGATGAAAATTTGTTATAATCTGGGTTTCATTGCAATCGGAGTCGCCATGGCAACGTAATGACGCCATTACATTTTTTATTTATCTTTGTGTTTCTCTGTACCAGGAGTTTTTTTAAGAAATCGCTGAAGGCAGTATCTACGTGCCATAATTGCCTCAATTGTGGCAAAGTTTGAACAAATTCTATGAGAGCGTTTTTGAAATCTAAAGATTGTTATACACCTGATTGTTTTATAGAGTAATGTGGACGAATTGGACGGCATTAGACCAAAGCAACCTGAGACATTGTCAACCGTAGCTGAGTCGACAACGAATGTAAAACCTGAGAGCACCTCAGAGCTGCATGGCTCCAGGGATGATAATGCAGAGGGGAAAAGTTCAAGCAGTTCATCAGATCAAGGTGTGCAGTTAAATATCGACACCACTGCTGCGTTGTCGGACGATGTCACAGAGTTGGTCATTCAATACTTGGAGCGGCTCAAATTGGATGATGACATCAAAGCAAAGGAAGTCATTTTGACGCTGTGGGATTTTGCTGGACAGCACCTATACTATGCGTCACATCCTGTCTTTCTTTCACCGCGAGCAGTGTACGTCTTGGTCTATAATCTTAGCAAAAGTCTAAGTGCCGAAGCTGAGCCCTGTGTCAGACAAGGTATTCATGATCTTCTCTTGGACAACCCAAACAGTGAGACCAATTTAGATAGTTTACTGGCCTGGTTAGTTTCTGTTCATAGCATTCGACGTCCCACAGAGAGTAAAACTGTGCAAGGAGCAGATCATCAAGGCACAAACTTGCCCTATCTTCGTCCGCCAGTCTTCATTGTTGGTACAAATGCTGATCACCCTTTCGAAGACCACACGAAAATGGAAGAGTGCATCGAGAGGGGTATCTCGGGCAACACTTACGAAGAGCACGTGATCAGGCCATTCTTTGCAGTCGATAACACAAAGTCGCAAAGCGATGACGGGATCCAGAAACTACAGAAGGAAATTATGGAGGTATTGAAACGAGAACCGTACATGGGTGAAGAGGTACCAATTAGGTACGTTTCGCAAAATAGTATGTTCTATTCAAGGTAGTAATGCGGTACCCTTTTTTGGATTGGACTGAAAAGCACGATTAAAGGAAAAGTCAATATACGACGTCTACTTCATTTATATCAGGTTTCGCTATTAGAAAATTAGCTGTTTATGCATAACGGAAAATTTTACATATTTTGTTGTTAAATGAAATATCGTGGCATTACAGTTGAGGGGCTTAGACCTCTCAGAACAACTTGCAGCTCTTCCATAAGCAAGCTAGACGGAAAGTGAAATATTCAATTACCCTAATGCAAAAACCAAATACACAAAGTCAAACCCACTTTTTTTACCTCCAATCCTTTTTCGGTCGTCTTTGCTTGTAACGGTTTCTTCGTTGTCCCTTTATTGTTCACAATAGGTGGTTCAATTTCGAAAAAGTTGTCGAGGCATTGGTTGCGAAGAAAACTTTCCACATGTCCCTGGACCAGCTTCTGACCGTCACGAGAAGAGTTTGCCAAATCGAGGACGATGCGGAGTTGACGGCCATGTTGAATTTCTATCATGATCTTGGTGTTATAGTCAAGCATGGCCATACAGTAGTGCTGCAAGCTCAGTGGCTTATAAACCTATTTAAACAACTGATAACTGTCCGGCCTTTCAAAGAGGTGGTAAGTAAGTCATTAGCGACTTTAAGATTCGAAGACGCGGCGACGAATACGAGTTCTAGATTTTGCTCAATACAAAGTAAAACGCGCGTGAACCAGTTTCCTTCTTGGGAAAACCCTGAAAGCCGTCGTCTTTTTATTACGAGTTTTAGCGATAATATCCTAGTGGCGGAAACAAGAGTTGTCAGATGTTAGACGTTTTATCATTTTGCGATCGGGAAAGGGCATCACCTCCTTCAATAAAGGTAATGGTGCTATCTTTTCTGCTAAAAAACGTCTTAAGCATCACGGGGTGTCTAATACACAAATAAATCTTTAATTCAATAATAGTACTCGTAGTTATTCTCGTCCTCGAATCTAAAGGTCTCTAATTGTGCGTTCAGCCCTTGCTCGCAAGTTTCTGGTGAATGTCTCTGGAATTAGGCATTCAAGCACTTCGGTGTTATCGCAAACAAAAACACAAATCGACCATACTAACAACAGGCCTCTGTGAGATTTATTCATATTCTGAAGATGTTCTTGAATTGTTCTAAATTTTAGGATCCTTTGTTTTCCAAATGTTGGCGCGAGCTGGAAGAAAACGGCATCCTTAGAATGGCTCTTGTAGATCACGTTTTCACGGATTTCATTCAGAATGGCCTTTCGAAGCAGGACGTCCTTGATATGATGGAACTGTATGGCTTAATTGGCAAGTTCTCCTGCTTGTCTTCGAAGGACGATCAAGTGCAAGAATACTTCGTTCCAGCTCAGCTCAGATCATCTCCATCTGGTCTGTGCAAGATACGTCCCTCCGATAGTGATCCGTGTCCACTATATATCCATTTCCCTGATGGATTTGTTCCACACGGGCTCTTTTCTCAGCTGCTGTCAAGGTGTATCAGTTGGTGCTCCCACCAAGGCCTCAAGCAGCCTCCACAGCTATTTAATAATGGTGCAAGGCTTTTCATTGGAATGCAGAGTTCTTTCGAGCTTTTCCTAATTTGCAGAAAGAGATTCATCAAGATTGTGTTGAAGATGAGCCAGAGATGTCGTTCCATGACTGGGCCATTGACAGCCGCCTCAACGAAAATGGCCAATGAGGTTCGGACCTTTGTTGAGGCTTCTTTAAAAGCCCTTACGTCTGAGCTGTCCTGGTTGCAGAGCCTCCAGTATGAACTGTGTGTCGCTTGCTGTCATTGCTTGCAAAATGGTGACCAGTGCACTAAACATGAATCGACAAGTTATTCTCAGGATGAGTACCTGCATCTTCTCCGAGTACATCCCGGAGAAGAGCCAATTTGTACAAAGAGCTACAATGGTGAAGCGGTTAAGGTAAATGGGTTGGAGAAATGGTTCCAAGCTTACAAAGCTCAGGTAATCTTGTTCTCACTGATGCCACCTGTTTAACTGTCTAAAATAGCAGTCTCTGCTTTATAATTATAGAAGCAGGCTGATATTGCGCCTTCGCTAATGCTTATGTTACTCCTCTGTTTGATTTAAATTAGAATGACGAGGAGGCCTTGGAGTGCCCGCTTGTGGGCAACGAAATTTTAAAAGGTACTATGTTGATCTCCTTTTCCTTTGTCTTGATTTCCCCTTCCTTTTTGTATGTTTGCTTGGGACTTGTTTTGTTATATGCCACGCTTGTTTTAAAACTCGCGTCAAAAAAATGCAGTTTAAAAGCTAATGTACATAGAAGCTGTTGCTTCCTATATCTGTACCGCTAATAATTCACTCTTTCTAAGTCTAACGGAAGTGTCTGAGTCACAGTCTTAATTTTACCTTGACTGGTTGAACCAGGCAACGGATCAGAATTTATCTTGTTTCTGTTTTCCATTACCGTTCGTCATTTAATTTCTACTGAAACTATGCTTGAAAACAGGCGGGTTTTTTCACCTTTTTCGGGTGATTGAAGGCGAGCGCGGAGCGCCAGAGACTCCCGTTGATAAACGGCGAAAAAAATGCGTTATTAGTTTCACGTCCCTCCCGTCTTGCGTGTCTGGTGCTCTACGTCCGCTTCGCGCTGGCTTTCGCTCGCCACGTTAACTGAACTTCACCCTGTTAATCACTGTAGAGTAGTCTTTTAAGCATTCATTAAACGTTGCTTTTAACAGATTTTGGATCACTCAAGTGTGGCAAACCCTCAACTGACGACCTTCTACTTATTTCTTATGACCTTGGTTCCTCGTGGAAAATGTTTGGACGGGCGCTCAACCTAGACAAGCCACAGCTAGAACAGGTTGAAGAGGATGAGCGGAAACTGATCGAAAAGAGCTATGGTGTGTTATTGATTGTCGTTAGCAGATAGGATAATTTGCATGACTTGCCATTGGTATAAAGACATACAAAGCATCTCAGTTAAAGACACGCCTGAAATCCTTAAATAAACTTGCCGTTGGAGTTATTCTTAGTTTGTTATTGAGAGTGAAAGCTACAATTAACTTTCCATGTTATGTCTTTTGGTGTGTGCTTGTTCGTGTAAGACGTTTGCATTGTGTAATTTCTCCTAGTTTCGTGTGTAGAAATTAAAGTATTAATTACAGTAACCTAATCCCACTTCAGGTATGCTAAAGAAATGGTTGGAGTCTTGTAGCGGCACTGCAACATATCAATGTCTTGCGGTAGCTTTCGAACAGCTGGGACGAACAGATCTTGCTGCAAAGTACTGTAACGTGCACAGCGATCCCCTTAAGGGTAAGTGCTGGGGTTGATTTAATAAAGCTTTTACAAGTGTAATTTGCAAGTGTAGCTATTGTTGTCATATTCTAAAACAATGGCTACACTTGTAAATTACACTTGTAAAAGCTTTATTGAACTGACCCCTGGACTCTTCGTTGATATCAAGTCCCGCTTATTAGTCAACAGGATCATCGGATGGCCAGCTCGTCACTGTCAACTTCAACATTTTCAGAGAGCGATAACTCATCTTATACATTGTATAGTTTTCCTTTTTTTCCTTTCACAGAAAAGAATAGCACCTTGTCTAGTTCATAGTCATGTATAGTTCACAAGTAGCACAACCCTTAAAGCTAACCTTCTCAAGACGAGAGAAAACACGCTCTTTTCTCGGCGGGTGAAACAACAGACGAAAAAGGCGTCTGTTCTCGCAGGTTAGGACGTGTCAAAAGTCAGATAGCTGTAGGATGGTTGTATAACTTGCTTATCATACTGAAAAGTGGAATTGTTTCCTATTTTTCACAGATTATGTAGCTTTGCCTTCATCGATTTCAATTAAGGCTGGCACACCATCCGGTGAAGACCTTCTCGATATTGCTGGTGAATTTTGTGCTTCTTGGAAGATGTTCTGCCGAGCATTACACCTCACTGAAGCCACGCTGGCACAGATCGAGGAGAACGAGCGTGATATGGTCAGCAAATGCCACGGTACAGTTGCTGAAAATGCTTTCATAAGCTGAAGCCTTAATAAGCTCTAACGTCGATGCGTTGCTTTAGTTTAGTAGAAACGAAAAGTAGGTTGCAGGCGATTAATAAGTTAGTCGGTTAATTTCAACAAGACGTCCTCAAACCCAAGGGGAAAAAATAATGATGATGATGATTATGTAATAAAAAAGAAACAATAATCTTTATGATTTCTGCTAAAAACGAAGTTCAGGACCAGCTATTTTTACGTTAACTAAGAACACGTATTTTACCACTGCAGCTGTGTTACGAATGTGGACAGAAAAGTGGGGATCTGAGGCGACCTATGAACGCTTGGCACAAGCACTCCAGCATCCAGCTGTTAAGCACTCAAATCTGGCTGCTAAGTATTGTCACTTGAACAAGAGTACTTCTTAAGGTGGGAAAGGGTGTCCGAGAAGATATAACCGGAAGAAAAAAAAATTAGTTGTGTGTGCAATATTGTATCAACGCTTAGCGCAAGAACTGCACATTTAGCTGTAATGCGCTCAAACCTAGCTGCGAAGTATTGTCACATGAACATCAGTACTTTTTAAGGTGGGAAGTGGTGTCCCACAAGATATAACTAGGACAATGATTTGTGTATTCATTTTCTGTATCAAGGCTTGACACGGCACTGCAGCATCCAGCTGTGGGGCACTCAATTCTGGCTGCTAAGTATTGTCACGTAAACAAGAGTACCTTTTAAGACTGGAAATGGTGTCCGAGGAGATACAACTGGAAGAGTGATGTGCACGCATTCTTTGTACGAATACGACGTGCGACATTTCGGTAACAGGTGCAGGCAGTAGTGCATATTGTCTTCCCCGTCGAGTGCAGATACCCCTCTTGTATTGACCATTTTCCAATTGCCCATAATACACTCTGTTTGCCCCCCAAATTTTGCATAACTTATTGTCTTAAAATGCTCTTGGGAAAATGCAATACTCCCAGGAGCATTTAAAGACAATGGTTTATGCAGAATTTGGGGGGCAAACAGAGTGTATTATGGGCAATTGGAAAATAGAGAATAGCCTACCACGCACAGGCTCTTAGTGCTTCGTCACGGAGGATTGCGTGACGAGCCAATTACTTATTTGTTAATTTTACGGTTATATACTGCCGCTCTAGAGCAGTGCAGTGCACTCCAAGTATCCATGTGAAGCGCAGCACCATTATATTATAGGAAATACCAATCAGTTTTAGCTTGCAAATTGCAAATTAATTTGTATTTATTAACATTTTGTTGTAGTTTATTATCTATAATTAGAATTTCGTTGTTAATATCAATATTAATTTTAGTTACTTTTAGTGAATCCGATTATAGTTTTAAGTGTAGCAGAATTACATTTATTTTATCATTATTTTGTAATTTGTTTATTCAATTATATTTTTGTTGCTACGGAACCTATTACAATAACAGCAAGAAAGATGATGATTTTCCTAAGGTTTTCTGTTGAACAATGTGTTAGTAAATATGACAACCACTAAGAGGATTAAAAAGTTATTATTTTATGGGTCTGTGGTAGGGTCTATTTTTTATTATTTTATCTTGTTTTATTGCTTGCTTGCTCGATTGTTTGTTTATTTTTTTTGTCTTTTTTTGCCGATGGCCGGTTAACAAATTCGTGGAACAGAAGTCATTTTAAAGGACTGCATGGGGAGGGGCCGGTATCGAAAATACATGAAACGTCTCTGAAAAGTTTCCATGGGCAAAAGCTTTTATTTAGAAATTAGATATCAGCGAGGTAAAACAACTGTTAGTGATACGTTACAGCGTTGCGACAAGGTTACTCTAGGAGTGACAAATAGTGATGCATAAGTATTGCTATCGTGATTTGCTCCTTTAAAAAAGTCGACTGAGAAGGCTCATTATTTGAGTACTACTTTCAATTCTGCTATTGCTGGCAGAGAGGTCCTTTCAGTCTGCTTTACTAAATAGAGGTTTTCTCTCTTAAAATTAATTTAGTACAGGCCAAGCACTCCACAGCAGTGCGGGCTGTTTGGTGATGTCTTATCCTTCTTGAGAGAAATCGTAGTCTAAAATTAATGTTCCTGTTTTTTTTTTTTTGTAAAATGGGGGAAGGTGGTCGACCTCTGCACCTGGACTAGCATCGACATAACAAGTTATGTAGATGTAAGAATTAGCTAAAAAGGCGAACACTCCAAAAGAACTAAAAGTTCCGATCGATAAATTTTTCCTTTAAAGGCAGTAAAACGACTTTATTGGCCATCTAAAATGGTTTAACTGTTCAGTGCTACGTCACTAAACTATAGACTTGTTTAAGGGATACCTTCCAGCAGTTCTGAAAGGTCGTCAAAACTGTATACAATTCGAGTTTCACCATTTTCGCCTCCCACAATGAACATTGGGGAATCTGGGTTCATGAGGTCATCTCCCTCATCCCTTTGCTCTAACAGGTCATGCTCATCAACATCTGATATTTCTATTTCGGGAGGTTCCCTTCGAGACTCCAGCTCATCGGTCTCCACTTCTTCGATGTGAATGTGAAGGTGAATGGGTTCCATTAATGACATGTATGACTACAACCGGCAACAGACGCAGTTCCCCATCTAGTTAAGCCGGGCTGTGCTAAAGAGATTGATCTCAGTCTCAAAAGGCAGGCAGTAACTGCAGTGATCTTTGCAGCTACATTAATGGTGGGGATAGGCTTTGTGATGACATTGGTGACAGGAATTAAGCAAACTCTAACGATGACGATGATGTTGATGACGATGACTTCGAGGAGGAGGGTGATGACTAGAACACCTTGTCGTGAATGTCTGGCCCTGGTAGTGAGGAAATCGCACTTTCATTGTTTTGTGTAGGTCATAGGCCATTTGCATGATGGCGTCATTTTACTGCTATGACCAGGATCCTTCAGGGTTTTTGCTTTCTTGTGCAAATTAGGGCTTTTGTTATTTAAACCTCACTGGGGCTACCAAATTTAAACATGAAAGGAAAAACGAAAAGAATTCTGGTCGTAGTAGTAAAATGACGCCATCGTGCAAATGGCCTATTGGAACGTATCTTTAAAAAAGCTTAAAGGAACTTTTATGATGCAGCCTCGTTTCCAGGATTCTGTAATAGTTTGGCCGGTTCTACATAACCTGAAAGGCACTTCAATAGCTGTTTTATTAGTGGTTGCCAAACGGAGTTTTAAGCTGAAGCCTCGTTTCCATGCTGCCGCAGTCACGTGACCAGTTTAATTGCTTAACAGATACTTTGTCAAGTCAGATACACTATTAATGTGTTATAAGAGTAATTCTGTTAGCAATCTGTTGTCATTGAAGATGGTTTTCAAGTACTTTAAAGTGGAGCCTCGTTTTCATGCTATTGTGGTTCCATATCTTGTTACTTCGGCGGAGCGCGAAGTAAAGGATTCGCGACGCTCAGGAATGTATCAAAGTTGCAATTTTTTGACAAGATTGGGCAAGCAAAGTCTGTAGGTTTTCGGCTCTATTCGGCTATTTCACGAAGTGAGAGCCGAATTAGTTCGAGATATCTCGAGATCACTTCGATTTCTTTGATTTATTCTTTAACTTTTTCGAGGAAGAAAGAATTATTATTTTGGCTTTCCCGGGGTTTGAACCGACTCACCTGTGTGACCCGTCAGATCAGAGGAGACTCTACGTTGAGGGATTAGCCGATTGCGCTACTGCGACCCAAGGTAGTTTGGGATATCAAAAATACTACTTCGGACTACTTCGTGACATCTTGAGATCACTTCGAGTTTAGTCTTTAATTACTCGAGGAATAAATAGAGGATATTTCGTGGCCGCGCAGAGACACGAAATTTCTCTTCGAGTGTTGAAAAACATTTCACGAGTAAGCCCTCCTTTCGAACTGTTTTATGATGAATTTAAAGTTACAAAATGCTGCACAAAGACATTTTGTCTTTGTTGAGTGTTACGTAGTAAAATTGCTTTCATGCGTTGCGTGACTTTCACGAACGTTCTCTACGTTTTTGGATTAGCCATGAATAATTAATTAGGGCGTGTTTACATTTCAGCATGAGTCAGCAGATTTGCATCAGTTACTGAAATTATAAAATATGTCGAAAAGCTACTACTATTCGCCTGTTTAGTATTTTCTAGAACCTTATGTCAAACGGTATACAAGTTCCAAGCGAGTTCTTTTGACGAACTAAGTTTTTTCCCACGAGCTGGACTGCTGTGTTTAGTCAAGTGTGACGAAGGTCGATTATTCAGGTTCTGTGTTTATGCACCTATCAATGGTTTGCCCCAGGATGGGGCGGCCGGGCAACCCACGGGAATTAGACTTCGTAAAGCGCACGTGGGTGGGGATTTTGACATCCACAACGGTCCCCAGGGTGGGAAATTTGACTCAACCGCCATCTTGAAAAGTGGAAAGGACCTGGGAATGAGTGACTGGTCCGCCATCTTGGAAAATACCAAGAAGTCATTTGAGCGAGTTTCCCGCTGAACGAAAGGTAAGGAGTATCGTGTTGCTTTTTTGAAAGCAAAAATGTTGTTTTCTATGCCCATCAGTGCTCTGTCTTTAAAGGTCTAATAACATAAGGTATTTTTCCTTCAGCTTTGAGAAGAAATATTCGCACAAGAGCTCATTTAGATCAAAATTTACTTCCTACTTACCTGTCTTTAGAGGATGCCGCCCTGCCTCAAGTTTTCGATACTCTCTGTGTTTATAGATTTGCTAGTATACTCCAAATGTTAAATTAAATGAAATTCTGGTCAATTGTGGACCTCACTTACAAACATCAGTTGGATGAAAGCGGAATACGACCTATTCCAGGCGTGACATAGAAGATGAATCCAGAAACCTGTGCCAAATCTCACCAAACGATCACAAGTAGTGCTTTATTAAATAATCTTATTTTTTGATACTTTCTATGTCAATTTTTTAATAATTCTACCCTAAAAAATTTTTGTCTACAAGAAATACAGTTTGAATTGTTTTGAGAGGATCTTGTTTAATCGTTGTATCAGTGTTGTGTCTGGAGGAGTGCTGCAATAAACTTGTTGCGAGTGCCGATCATTTCGTTGAACTTACTATGAAGGTCTGTGGTCCACAGGGGTGGGAATTTGACTTACAATGGAGACCAAAGGGTGGGGAAATTGACATTTGAAAACCTGAAAATATCAAATTTCCCGTGGGTTGCCCGGCCCCCCCATCCTGGGGCAAACCATTGATAGGTGCATTACAAGTTCGCGGAAGCCGTAAGATATCTGAAGTTCAAGTGAGAGTTTGTTATTATTGGTAGAGGCTGTTTAGTTTTACTCAAAGTTCAAGTCAAGTTTGTGTTGGCGGATGCTGTGTTTTAAAGCTCTGTAAAGGCTATGTTCCTTTGGTGTTAAACTTCCTTGTGTTAATCCGACATCCCTGCGTGCTGATAGTCAGTGAATAATTATCCTCAAAACATTCGAACTCGTGACTTTGAGTTTTAGCCAATTCCATGCTCAACGTAATTGACTCCTTACCCATGCCTTACATATCTTTAATCAGTACATGAGACTGCTATGCTGTTTTTGAAGGCTGATGTGACTAAGAAAAATAGAGAATTGTTTTTTGGAAGGATTTGTATGGAGTCATCAGAGCATAACTGGGCTAATATCGCGGAGACAATTTGTCCTGAAATGCTAGTTTTTGGCAAGTAGGCCTCTTGGATGTTGCTCTTTTCAGAATATCCTGACAAATCCCATAATTTCACACCTTACTCTTACCGTATTTGATTTCTTACTATTCCTCCGCATTCACAATTAATTAGTTCCACAACAACGACGCCGAAGTGTACGCTAGGTCCGTAGCGTCTTGTTTAAAAAAGAATGCGTCACAAGACAAACTTTCTGTTTCTTTTCTTCGTGATCTCAATAAGCACAACGTATACCGCGGGATCAAACTAATTAATAATACGGAAATCAATTTTATTGATACAGATATGGATGTTGGTGCTAATGCTACTACCGGGGTACTACTCAAGGACAGTGACGTAAGACCAGTATTGAGTTGAACATATTCAGTGATTTGTGACAATTGTTCAGAAACTCAGCAGTTTTAAAATAGCCGGTCTTCCTGATCCTGGGCTGTAGGAAATAACCTTTTAAGATGAACGATAAACGGAACGTTTTGTTACTC